AGATCTTCTCTGTCTTCCACACCATGGTATTCCAAGCACATCTTATATAGTGCCTGGTACTAGTTAAGTGCTCAATAAATTCTTAATCATTGACAGTGTGGCTCTTCTTTCCTCATTCAATATACTCGTAGGCCCAAGGCAGTGGAACTTATCTCCTCCATTTTATCCTATTCCTTCCCCTCTTTCTGTCCTCATTCCCTCTCTCCCACCTGTCCGGTCACCTTTCCTTCCTTCCTTCTGATGGTTCCGTCCTCTGGCTCCTTCTTTTGTATGGGCTTTATGATCTGTTGGATATCTTCCATATGATGACAAAGATTGTCCCCAGCATTGCAAGATCACTCCCTGTCACCCTCCCTCCCCCAGGGTGAAATGCTCCCTTCTTGGTGTTTCCTTCAAAGCCCTCGGGCCACCTCTAATTGGCCTGAATGATATCAGAGCCCCAGTAATTATGGCCAGATTAGCATAATGTTTACTAATTGGCCAGGCCTGGGTTTCATGTCCACCCCAAGATTGGAAGTGGTGTGAATTTCCCATGAACCCCATGGACCAAAAATTCCCACAGAGGGGAATTTTGGTGATTTCCTCAAAGAAAATCAGGAAACTGTTCCTGGAGATGAAGGAATGGATGATCCTCTACTGAGAAAAACAACAGATGTCCTCTGAGGGGACAGCTGAGTGGGGATAAGGTAGTGGCTCCAACAATCACCTGAGGCTCTTCTACCTATAAACTGTTCCTCAGCCCTGTTAGGCTCCTGCTTCCCTGGGCTTAATGCTCACTGTGCTCACTTTTTCTGGGACACTCCACCCTTGTCCCAAACCCCTTCCATGGAGCTCTTCCTTCATAGTTCAGTTTAGGTGTAACTTCCTCTGGGAGAACTTCCTATGATGCCCTATACGTCTCTCATCACAGCACTTATACAATTACATGACAGCTGCTTGCATAATTTTCTGTGTCCCTACAACAGTGTGTATTCTATGCGGTTAGTGGCTCCATATGTCTTACACACTGTAGTATTTCCTGGTATACTACCTGCCATAGTATCTACACATAATAAACTGCTTAATAAATATTTCATGATCCAGGACAGGGCTGTCCCTCAAATAGACTCACGAGATCAAAGGCAGTAGAATGTATCTCCCTCATTTTATCCTCCCTCCCCCTCCCTCTTTCATCCTCTCATCAATCCATCTGCCCACCACCATGCATCTGGCCATCCATTCACCCATCCACTTAACTACATTCATCAATCCATTGATTTATTGGTCCATCCATCCAAACATTCATTCATTTATACATGCAAATATATATTGACACTTGGCTACTATTCTCTGCTCTATTTGGGTCAAGATAGTTTATAAACATGAAAAATGAGTAAATGAAAATAGAGATTAAGTTCTATAGATAATGTAGGCCACAAAGGTAGTCAGACTGAAATTTTGGGATTTCTTATTCTTCAAGGATATCTGGCATGCCTTGACCCAGGCGTTCACCCACACCTGAATGCTGGAGACAGAGAGCTCACTGTGCCCCAGGATGGCCCTGCCTGTGGGACAGAGGAGGCACATATGGACTGCATTGTTGAGAAGCTGTTTTCTAACAACTGATCCTTATCATGCCCCAGCATATCTCTTTATTGATGCTGTCAACTTCCAGATTCTGTTTGCTTTCTTTTGCATTTAAATGAGAGTCTGAAGGACTGTGCATCTTTTGACACTTGGCTCTTTCAGGATCTGAGAATCTTGGAAAATGCAAAAGGCCTGTGTACAGAGTGAAACGCAGTGCAATTATCAGAAAAGGCTAGGCCAAGGGGTTGAAAGCCCTAGCTTTCAGTCTCAGCTCTACCTGGATTGCTGTGGAACTTTGGACCACACACTTCCTATTTCTAAGCCTCAGCTTCCTTTAAAGCAGGGTTACTGCACCGAGATTTCTGAAGACCTTCTGCCTCTTAAATTCTGAGAGCCCATGAAACTGAAGTAGGTCCAAGAATAGTGATCTCAACTTCCATGTCCCTCTGATGTCCTTCCCAGGCTTGTTCAGTGGGGTCCTTGAGAGGGGTCTGGAAAGGGAGCCCATCAGTGGTGGAATGGGGGCCTCTACAGAGCCCTTCACAGACCTCAAGTTCAGCATCTGGCTTCAACTGACTCCTGCATCTATCTATGCACCTTCCCAATCCCAGTGCACAGCAGATGTCAGCCAGTCACTTTACAACACAATTACAAAGCAATTTTCATCTGCCCCTGCCCGAGCTTTACCAGGAGGGCAAAGAGAGGGCAGGACAAGCCTCTCTCCAGCAAGGCAGCATGGTGTAGGAGAGTTGAAACTCAAAACTGGTCTTCTGAATCCCTGGGGGCTAGAGGACCCTTTCATCCCCTTTCATGGTGGTGGAAAGGGTGTCAAGAAAACAAAACAACCCTTGCCTCTGCCATTCACTAGCTTTTTAACCTTGAGAAGCTCACTGAACTATTTTGGGCCATGGTTTCCTCATCTGTAAAGCAGGGATCAGAGGATGCATATTCATAGAGTTTTGTGGGGAAAAAATGAAGTAGTATATGTGAAGTACTTAGAACAAGGCCTGACATGTAGCCAAAACTTAATAAATGGGAGCTGCTATCATTGCAGTTGTTATTGCACTGCCCCCAGAATTGGAATAAGGATAATTTGAAATACTCCTTCAAGAGAAGGGGGTATAGGAAAAGGTTTGAAAGTAGTAGATAAGTTTAAATATTATTTAACTCAGCCTGGATTGGCAGTGGCAAGCAGATCTTCTTGGCTATTGAGCTAAGGTCTTTTGATCCTGAAGCCCACGTTACAGGTGCAGTCAACCCTGAGTATCCATAGGTTCTGCATCCATGGATTCAACAAATCACAGATTGAAAATATTCGGGAAGAAATTGTGTCTGTACCAAACATGTACTGACATTTTGCTTGTGAGTCCCTAAACAATACAATATAGCAACTACTTATGTAACATTTACATTGTAGTTGGTATTAAAAGTAACTGAGAAAGACTATACTTTCGGGGATCATCTCTATAGTTTGTTACTAGAGAAGTTTCTCTGATCGTGTAGAGTACTGGAAACCACGAGGAAGTGATGCAGCGTTCTTTCCTGAGCGTGAAGCTGGCTTTTGGTGTTGCTTTATTACAATTGCCATCTGCCATCGATAACTGTTCTTACCCCCTCTTTGAAGAGTAAGAGGGAGAGAAAGTAACCTAGAGATGATTTGAAGTATACAGAAGGACATGGTTAAGTTATATGCAAATACCATGCTGTTTTGTATAAGTGACTTGAACATTTGCAGATTTTGGTAGTGGTGGGGGGTCCTGGAAACAGTCCTCCATGAATACCAAAAGATAAATGTAATCAAATAAAGGAAATATCTGGAGGATTCTGGTATAAATAAACTCATTTTGGAGAGGTCTTTAGGTAAACTCTTTTGTGGCAGCTGTCTGTCATGTTACTGGGGCAACTGAGTTCACTGTTATCCTTGAGATCAGTAATCAATGGGATCCAGAGGGAGTGTGGCCCTAGGGTTCTCAGGGATGTGTTCTCCAACCATGGGATTTTTGGAACACAGATCAGAGACTATCCTGGGAAGTTTGGCTTGTTGGAAAGCAGGATGAGTACTCCATGGTTCAAGAGGAGTAAAAGAAAACAAGAAAAGAGGAAGAAAAGAAAATGGACAAAAGCAAATGTGGGAGGTGAGAACACCCAGCTGGGATGCTGCCCTTGACTGACTGGACCAATGCATGCATGGATAGTTGGGCAGGAAGAGCTAGATGCAAATAGAAATGTTCTGAATTCTTCTGAACTCCTTACATAGATGATAGATTGCTGAAAAGATAAGCAGAATGAAAAGCTGAAGTAGAAAGAGTAGATGAAGCAGGAATCATTGAACCTACGCAAGGTGGGGTCCAGAAATGGACTATGACAATGTGGTGGTGAAGGAAAGAATCGTGGCTGTTGTGAATGTGAAAGAAAAGAGGAGAAAGCAGGAAATGGGGCCTGGGAGACAGACCAGAGCAGTTGTTTCCAACTCTCCACCACATTTTGTTCCTGGAAACCATGGGATGTAGATCATTGAGAACAGTAATTGCTTTGGTTACCTACCAGCCTGCAGTCATTCGTTTTGGCCACTAGATGTCAAGTACGCATTAATTCAGCACACTTTCTGCTCCATTGAGTTGTTTGGGCAGGAGCTTAGTGGACCTGGGATACAGAACATATAAAATCAGCAAGAAGGAGGTTTCTAGGAACTTTAGGGCAACTGCGAGTGAACCAAAATGGGTGGAATACAGAGATGAGCTCTTTCGATCATGATCCATGAAGAAAATTGGACTGCAGTTTTTATTCTTGTATTGTTTTGCAAGTTTCAGAGGCTCAAACTTTTACCTTGTTGAAGCAATGTCCAACTTTTGTTAGGGAAGTAGAGTTACAAAATGCAATTTTCTTTGTAGGAATTCTTTCCATAGCCAAGGATGAGTATATTACAGAGAACATAGACTGTCTATTAGGTTGTGTAATACTACTCCTTTTTGGGACAGAGCCATTGGCAAGCCCTCTTTACTTAAGAAAACAGCTGAAAAAAATTATTTGTATGTAAGTAAGAATGATGTTCCCCAAGGAAGACTCTCATGAGTACATGGGGAGGAGCATTCCCACTGACAGGAGTGGGGAGGGGGGATGCAAGGGTCACAGCTGGTACAACTGGGGAAAGCCCAGCTTGCCATATCACCTCTGGGGTGTGGCCAACCTTTGTAACTTCTCCTTTACTAGCTCATGCCTGATGCTTAGGAGGGTTAGAAGATGATGATGGTCACAGCGACAGTGCTATCATCATTTCGCATCCTCAGAGTATTGGCAAAGACATGACGGTGTGAGCACCATGTCCTGGGAAGAGAGCTGGGACAGATCTGGCAGAAAACTTGGGGTGGGGTCAGAAACCATAGGGTGGACAATGCTGAGCTGCAACAGGCTGTGATGTACTCATGTACCCCCAGGTCATGAAAACCTACCACATGTACCACGCGGAGAGTATCAGTGCAGAAAGCAAGCTGAAGGAGGCTGAGAAGCAGGAGGAGAAACAGTTCAACAAGTCGGGAGACCTCAGCATGAATCTGCTCCGGCATGAGGACCGGCCCCAGCGCCGCAGCTCCGTAAAGAAGATCGAGAAGATGAAGGAGAAGGTGAGAGGGAGCTCCAGCCTTGGACAATTAGCAGACAGGTCATGAAGGGGGGATTAGGTGCTCAGCTGACAGCCTTGGCCTTCCCCCTTGTGTGAGAGTGGAACAGCACTGCCCTTCTGGAGATCAGTGTCATGGAGGAGGCAGACTGGCAGACCCCTGCTAGTACTAGTTAGGCCTGGCTAACAGTCACTAGGCAGTAGAGGTGCTCAGCTGACAAGAGAGCTGCATCATGACAGGATTTGTACTCAGCAAGTACGTCCTCACATGCAGGAATCGCCAGGCATTAGTGTGCCTTAGCGCTTGTTCCAGAGGTCAATTTGGTGGCTGGAGTTGGGGAGGAAGACTGATTGGGACTCAGTGTATGCCAACAAGAGAAAATAGCACAGGGCTACTGAACCACAGCTGGGAAGATGGTGAAGGACCCCTTGCAAACTGTCATTGGCGAGCCAAAGATCAGAGATTTAGGATCACTGTGTATAGGTATTGGCAATGTGCTTTAGTGGCATGGTAGAAGGAATTCAAGCCTTGGCGTCTTGGGATCATAAATAAGTCTCATCTCTTATGTCAGCTCTGATGGATTGGTAGTGGCTACCCAGTGTTATGTTGAGACTGTGAAGTCCTACCCAGGCTTAGTTACAATGATGATCATTTCATGATGTCTGCTTTGGCCAGGAAATTTTGAAGGTCAGTACACAGAATGCTTTTTTTTTTTTTGTCATTTTAAACTAAGTGACTTCTAAGTTTCCTTTCTTCTTGAAAGGCTCTGATATTGTTGAATTCTTCATGTTCACTCATCCCATATAATCACAAAACATTTGCAGAGCTTTATCTATCTGCCACACATTGCACCAGATGTTTATTTGGACTTCTACAAGCCTAATTCTATAATTGTAGGATCCTTTAGCTCTAAAAATTATAGAACAAAAATTGAGTAGTAACAAAACCCAACAGGACCTGGGTAAGCTGAAAAAGTAACTGAAGCCATATAAAATAAAGTTCTAGGGTAATTTTTGAATGTGAATAAAGCTACAAAACCTTGCAGAGACCCCATTTAAAAATAGGCAAAAGATTTGAATTAAAAAAGAAAGACACCTAAGTACTCAAAAACTACATAAAAATGTTCAGCACCATTAATGATTGAGGAAATGCAAATAAAAGCCATCAAGTGAAAGGCTGTTTCTCGGTCTAGAATAAAATAGGCTAATGAAGAGAAATACTGGTGAGGCTGGAGAAACTGGAATCTTTACACTGCTGGAGGAGGTGGAAAACCATCTAGCAGCTCCTCAAAATGTTATACATAGGTCACAATTCCACTCCTAGGTTTTTACCCAAGAGAAGTTAAAATCTCTATACAAAAACCTGTACATGAATGTCCAGAGTAGCATTCTTCACAGTGGCCACAAGATGTAAGCAAGCTGGGCATGGCGCTTCATGCCTCTAAAGCTGCTCAAGAGCTGGAGATCAGGATTGCAGCTCAAGCCCAGCCCAGGCAAAAAAGTTCACAAGAGCTTATCTCAGCTAATAACAAGCTGGGCATGGTGGCACACATCTGTCACCTCAGCTACGCAGGAAGCATAAATAAGAGGACCATAGACTGGGCCTTCAGGCCATAAGTGTGACACCCTATTTAAGAAATAACTGAAACAAAAAGAACTGGGGGTGTGGCTCAAGTGGTAGAGTACTCACCTAGCAAGTTCAAGGCCCCTAAGTTCAAACCCTAGTACTGCCAAAAAAAAAAAAAAAAGAGAGAGAGATGGAAATAAGTTAAATGTCCCTTTACTAATGAATGGATTAATAAAATGTGGTCTTATTCATACAATGGAATATAACTCAGCCATGAAAAGTATTTAAGTAGTGATCCATATCACAACATGGATAAATCTTGAAAACATAATGCTAAAAAGAAGCTAGACCCAAAAGACCACATTTGTACAATTAAATTTGTAGAAAATTCCAGAATAGACAAATCCATAGAGATAGAAAGTATGATTAATGGTTTTCAGAGAGACATAGGAAAAGGAAAACAATAAGTGGCTGTTAATACATGTAGTATGATGAAACACTGTAAATTTAGGTAGTGATGATGGCTATACAGCTCTGTGAATATATTAAAAATAAATTAAATAACCAGGCAGGGAATTTAATGCATGATATAGGGGAAAATGGGGTATAGAGAGAACTGGCTGGATCCCGGAGGCTCATTTCTAGTTCAGAGTTGCATGCTGATTGCCACTTGGCTCTTGGACAAGATACTTTTCTTCAGCTTCCATTTCCTCATTTGTAAAATAGAATAGTTCAGCTAAGACACCCTCATAGTTCAAAAGACACCTTTATGTCCTTTCCAAGTATAAAATGTACTGAGTCCAGAAAAGGGTGAAAATGATCCAGGGTCATAGTAGGCCACTGGAAGGGACCAGGAGTGTCAGAGCTCTCTATGGTGTTGGGTACTCAGCTGGCATGCAATGTCAGTGCCAGAGAGGTCTGCTGAATATTCCCAGAGTAGGAGGACCCTGGGGAAAAGTCAGAGGGTATCTCTGAAGAGAATTAAAAGGTGGATAATGGGGCTTCTTTACTAGAAAACTAGAACTCCATGTGGAATAAGGGAAGTTTAAGCATATCTAGGTGAAGGTGGAAAACCTGTTTATTAAAGGAGACCCATCTTTTTACTCAGAGCTGAGACTCATTGATCTGAAGGACAGTGGCAGCTCTCAGTCCACCTGCTCTCTCTCCTCCCTGGCCAGCTGGCCCAGAACAGAGGCGGCTCCCGGGAGGCAGTCAGGCTCCTAGCCTAGACCTTGGGTGCCCTGCCCTACCTCTCGCCACCACTCCTACCTAGACAGCTGTTCTCCCTACCTAGACAGCTGTTTTCCCTCCCTTCCTAGCCCTTGTCCTCCAGTGCCTACCTTGGAGGGGCCATGCTGGGTACTGCAGATCCAGCAATGTTGAGCCAGGCACTCTGTTCCTTGACTTCATCGTTTGCTTTCTGGTGGAGACACTGACTGACCAACAATCAATAAGTACACAAGGAGGTTGTAGAAAGGGCTTATGAAGAAACACAGAGCAGGGCAAGGGGATAGAGGGCAGGGGAGGGGAGTGGAGATTCTGGGGGTGTATTTTAGACAAGGTTGTCATCAAAGGCCAGTGAGACTGTGACCTTGGGTAAGGACCTGCATTACATGAAGGAGCAGACCAGGCAGAGATCGGGAAAATGATCATAATGAATCGGAAGGCCTTGAGGCAGGAGTGAACTTGATCTCTTAAGGATGGACAAAGGAATGTGCAGGAAGATGGGACTCAAGATATAGCAGGGGCCAGGTCACCAAATACTTCCCAGGCTACCACAAGCAGCTAGGAAGCTGCTGGAGAGTGCTGAGGAGGGATCTTATCTGTGCTGCATCTGGTGGGGACCACCTGAAGGCAACAGTGTGTCACATGGTGTCATTGCTGGCTGCACATGTGCCATGTAAGGTGAACTTGTTGAGTACAGGATCCTGACCATACTCACCTGACATGGAGGCATACCATTGTGGCAGGGGTGGGACTGAATGGTTGGCTGTTGCCATGAAGATCACAGACCTCCCCCCGCCTGAATGGCTCAACTCTGATGTCTACTCTTTCTCCTTCCAGAGGCAGGCCAAGTATTCCGAGAACAAGCTGAAGTGCACCAAGGCCCGGAACGACTACCTGCTGAATCTGGCAGCCACCAATGCAGCTATCAGCAAATACTACATCCATGATGTCTCTGATCTCATTGATGTGAGCACCCTGGGAGCTGAATGGGGCCACAACTGGGCTGGTACACCTCATCAGCTGAGGGGGCTCCCCTTGGTTCTGACAAGTGGGGTGGCCAGGTCTTTGGAGCCCAGCTGGAAGGGATGGGCATGGAATGTTTGAGGCTGGGCCATATTATTTCATGGTTGCTACTTCCATGCATGGGAGGTTAGCTCTGCTGGGCCCTCCACAATAGCCTTGAGCTATCATGTATTTAATGCCAACTTCTTAAGTCCCCTCTGCACCAGAGTCTCTGCTGGGTGTGAGGGCACAGGGGAGAATCATGCAGTTTGTGTCCAGGGGACTGCCAGTATGGTAAAGGAGGTGTCTATACCTTCAGCACCAGACACTCACCATGAGAAAGAAGATGGCAAGTGAGACAGAATGACACAGATCAGCTTCATGTGGGAAAGTTATCATGGGAAGAATCAGACAGTTTACACCGAGAATGAACATTGACTCGGGAGTGCCAGCTGTGTGGGGCTTGCTGGGGACACTTGGGCTTGGAGGAAGGACATTGAGCCAGAGTGATGTGGAGGGCTCTGCATCCTCTCTGTTGGGACTGTTTCTCTTGCTGCTGCTTCCTGCCCAGGATGGGGGATTCGGCCCTGTAGATACTTGGTAAAGGTTCTGTACTGGTAGCTGGAGCCTTTCCCTCTGGCCCTGGTATGTCCTGTTCTAGAAGTAAGAGGGTCACTGCAGAGGGAACCCATTATCATCATCCTGGGGTTGGGGGGAACTGCTTAGCCATCCAAATGGTCTAAGGTCAGACCCCTTTTCTACCTTTCAACTTCCATTTGGCTCTTTCAGCCCTTTCACTCATTCTCTTACCAGATACTTAGTGAGCACATACTGTGGTCTAGGACGTGAGGTACAGCAGTGAGCAAGAGCCAACAGGTCTCACAGAGTTTAATCTACAGAGGACTTGCTAATAGTCAACTGTAGTGCCAAGTGGCAGGGCTCACAGTGAGGGAGAAGGAGGGAAATGTGGACTCACGAAGGGGGACCTGAACCAGATTCAGTATGGAGAGCATAAGGAAGGCTTCCAGGAGGAGGGACCTACAAACAGAATGCTGAAGGAAGAGCATTTGAGACAGAGAGGATGCATGTGTGAAAGCTGGGCAATGAAAAAGAATGTGGTAAATTTGGGGAGCCAAGAGAAGCTCTGCTCTTGTCCAAATCTCAACCCCCCAGCTCCCTCTGAGGGTTTTGGTGTGGTTTGTGTGGTAGGATTCCAAAGCACCAGGGAACACCATCCCAGCTCTCATCTGCACCCTTCTCTTGTTGCCTCTTCCCAAGTGCTGTGACTTGGGCTTTCATGCCAGCCTGGCCCGCACCTTCCGGACCTACCTCTCTGCTGAATACAACCTGGAAACTTCTCGCCACGAGGGGCTGGACGTCATTGAGAATGCAGTGGACAGCCTGGACTCCCGGAGTGACAAGCACACAGTTATGGACATGTGCAACCAGGTCTTTTGCCCTCCGCTCAAGTTTGAGTTCCAGCCCCACATGGGGGATGAGGTAAGTTTCCTGCAGGAGCCTGTGCTTGAGGCTGTGGTCACACCAAAGTAGCTGAGACCTTATAACTTATAAAGAATAGAGGCTCAAGGTTCTGGGATCTGGGAGGACTAGAGCATGCATGGCATCTGCTAGACATCTGGTGGGGGCCGTTTTGCTGTGGTGTAACATGGTCAGGGCGTCACATGGTGACACAGAGCAAGTGTGCTAGCTTGGGTCTCTGCCTGTTCTTACAAAGCCACGAATGCTGCAACAGGGCCCCACCCTCATGACCTTATCCAATCCCAATTATCTCCCAAAGGCCCCATCTCCAAAGTCATTTACATATGACTTTGGGAGTTAATTTTTCCATATGTGAACTTTCGGGGATGCATTGACACCATAGCAGTTGCTTCCCTGTTCTGTCCCACACTGGTGTGGCATTGGTGGAAGGAGAACGGCCCTGGGTACACGTGCAGGATATTTATCTCAGAAGTCTGGGGACAAGTTCTTGGTTCAGGAGCTTCTCCAGCTGAGGAATTTCCTACTAATACCCTTATCTTGCTGGCTCAGGTCCCCCACCTATAGAATTGCAAGACCTTAGCTTTTGTTAGCATCCTTCCCAAGTATGTCTAGAAGGTACCAAAGGTACCAAAGGAAACAAAGGAACCCTGGGCTGTACCAAAACAGTCTCCTGCTCTTCCTGAGATGCCCTCTGACCACAGAAGGCTGGGCCTCTCCATGGCCTCTCCATAGTCACTCTGGTCTCATCCTTGCCGGAACTCTGCTTCCTCCAGTGCTATGAGTCCTTGACATAACAGACAACTGAGTTTCCTTCAGTGCTTGTGCTGCTCAGATCTTTGCTATAGTCTGAAAATGAAAGGAAAAAAAAATGGGGAAGATATGTTGTCACTATCCCCAGTGTAGCACCACTAGTTACCTAAGTTTCACAAAATCTCGAATGCAGATAGCTTTTCTGCATCATTCCTCCCTCTGGGAGTTGTGGGGACTCACACCAGCAGGGAGCAGAACCAGCAGTCTCTGAATCCCAGTGGGAGCTCAGCTGGGCCATCTGCACACATGCTTGGTGGGGAGGGACATGAGACATCTGTGAAGATGACATCTGCTCAAACTTGCGGATGGCTCTGCCCACTTCTTGCATTTGCAAAAGAGAGGTCTTCTGTAGGGTGATGTGCCACTCCGGATAAATCCCTCTTCCCTGATGTCTGCCATGTGGCCCATCATTTAGCCCTGAAAATTCTGGCCCCAAAACTACCCCTGGTGACTGTGAAGTTGGGTTGCTAGTTAGTGGTAAGTAGCTAGCTTTATCAACAGAGCCCTACTGTCCCTAATTACTGTGTTACTGGAGGGGTGAGATTCTAAAGCACACAAGCTAGCCCACTATGTGGTGATAGAGTCCTGGACAGAAAGGTATAGGGAGAGTAGTACAGTCTTTCCTTGATATCCTCGGGGGACTGGTTCCAGGATACTCTGGGGATACCAATATCTGAGGATGCTTAAGTCCCTTACATAAAACAGCATAGCTGTAACTCAAATATATCTCCTCCTACATACCTTAAATCATGTCTTCATTACTTAGAATACCTAATATTGTGTAAATAACATGTCAATAGTTACTGCACTGTGTTGTTTAAGGGATAATGACAATAAAAAGTCTGTGCATGTTCAGTACAGACATAATTTTTCTCCTGTATATTTTTTATCCTTGTTTGGTTGGTGGAACCTGCAGACACGGAGGACCAACTGTGGTTTTCTCAATTCTTCCCCTCCTCCACCTCACCATCAGCTGATTGGAGAGGAAGAGCTTTGAGTATGATAGCTATGGTTGCCTTTTTCCACATTTCGATGGACAAAAGGAGCAATCTTTTGACTGCTTTCTGTTTCTTGGAATTTCTAGTAGCTTCTCAGGCAGTTGCTTTATTTCTTTTTCTTTTTTCTTTCTTTTTTTTTTTTTTGGTTTTTGTTTTGTTTTGTTTGAGACAGGGTCTTGCTTTGTAGCCCAGGCTGGCCTTGAATTGGTGATTCTCCTGCCTCAGCCTCCTGAGTGCTGGGATTACAGGCGTGTACCATCACACCTGGCTCAGGAAGTTGCTTTTTTTCCACAGCTTCCTGCCTTGAAACTAATGAATTCTTTTCACCTAATAAGATTATGTTAAAGTTCTTTGTAAACCCACTAACGTGGTATAAATGCAGATCATGACTGAGAGACCACTGCTGGCTATTCCAAGAGGATGGACTTGAGTAGGAAGAGCCTGCTTCCAGTCTGGCCACATACAAGCTGGTGACCATGGGCAAGGCACTCAGCCTTGCTGAGCCTGTGTGCTTGACTGTAAGAAGACATTAATGATGGTCTGTGTCCTGCTCCGGAGAGGAGAGGAGGCCCTGGGCAGCCATAGTGATGGTGGTTCTTTCTGCAGGTATGCCAGGTCAGTGCGCAGCAGCCCGTGCAGACAGAGTTGCTCATGCGGTACCACCAGTTGCAGTCCAGACTGGCCACTCTCAAGATAGAGAATGAAGAGGTGAGTGAGCTTCCAACCTTGGGATGGTTTCCCCATGAAGGCCTGGCTTGTCCTGAGGGAATCCACTGTACCATGGAACAGGTAGGAAATGATTGATCATCCATAAGATAGGCTATTACACAACCACAAAAGCACCCACACCAAGAATCTTTAATGACCTGGGGATGCTCACAAGGTGTCAAATGAAAGAGAAACAAAGTGGAAGTAGGACTCTATGTTCAGAATAGCATAGAGTAACATGGGGTAAGCAAAAGCCTGTCTGCCAGCATCTGTGTATATGCACAGGCATAGAAAAAAGACTGGAGGGAAATACTTCAAGATGTTAGCAGTGGTTAGGTCTCAGTTTTAGGATTATTGATGGTTTCCATTGATTTCTTTGTGCTTTTTTTCTATTTTCTGCATTGAGTTTCTGTTCTCACATCATAAATCAAAGTGAGTACTTAAAATTATACAATGAAATAAGCAACCGAGGGCACCCTAAATGTGTTGTGAATTCTGAGCTACAAGGAATGGGTCAGTCTCACCAGATCTGGTGCCCTTCTCATACAGCTGAGTGGCAAGGCATCTGCCCTGCAGATGGAAATAGCAATGCTGGCTCCAGTCTGACATAGACTAAAGAGGCCAGGTGGAAGACATCCTTCTTCAACCTAGACATCTCCCTCCAGGAGGATGTCAGCCAACTTGGAGGGCCCCGGAGAGGGACAGCATGACATGGGGAGTGCCACAAAGGCCATGGGCAGGTTTATCTTGAGAACTGCAGTCATGGTGGAGGTGGGAAGGTATAGTTTCTGTCTTCAAGCCTCTAGAGGGCTGTCCTGGACAGAGAGGGTAGGTTTGCCTGGCATCTCCACAAAGGACAGAGCTAGGACAAATGTGAGGCAGACTTCAGCTCAGGATGATACAAATCAAAGTAGGCCTGAAGGAGGCAATATGGAGACAAACTATATTTGTTTTTCAAACCTGGCAAGAGACAAGAGATGAGCAGAGTGTTTTCTTTCTTTCTTTCTACTATATATCTTCCTCAAAAAGACTTCAAATTGTTTACAAGGAACAGAATATATATAATAACGTTAATGGAATTTAAATTGGAAATCAAGGCCACAAGAAGGAGGATGAGGCAAACATTCCTCTGTGGGACTGGTAATGGGCATGGATATGCTTAATTTTGAACCTGAACGTCCTGTCACTCTATGTTAGAATTTATTAATGAGTGTTTATTCAAGAAATATTTATCAAGTTCTCATTCAACACATACTATATATTAAACATTGTTTTAGATAGAGAATCAACCAAGAGAACCCAGCAACATAACCCTCCTCATATGGAGTTTATATCTTATTGAGGAAAAAAACAGATGGAAATTAAATTACAATGAATGAATGAGTATGGAAACATATTAGACAGTGATAGGCACTAGGTTAAGACATAAGAGGGGCCTGGCATCAGTAGGGGATCTGAATGACAAGAAAAAGACTTTGAGTGGCAATGATTTTATAACAAATGTAGATGCAGTTTTTCCATGACCACTTTTGGAATGACCCTTCATCAGAGAATGGGGTCTGCCATCGAGACACTATTTGCCAAATAGTGAAACTGGGATCCTTGCCCTCTGCTTTTGTAGCCCTCAATTCTGGGAGAGAAGCTGGAGTCCTAACTGAATATCCAGTGACTCTATGATTGCCTTCCTTGGGGTCCCTTTTCTCAGATGGCTCTGGCAGGTATCAGGGTACTTGAGAGGTCGTTCAATAGGACCACCGTTATACAGATCTTTCCTCCTTCCTACCCTGAGTGAGAGAACCAAGAGCACCTCTAGTGCTGTCCCTGCTCAAGTGACTGCCTCCCACTGAAGGAACTAGTTTGGGGTTTCATGACCAGGCAAAGAGAAACAAACTTAGAAACCCAAGTCCCTTGTCTGTCACAACATTCCCCAAGGTTCCCTCTGGAAAAATTAATGCAGTAAAATGACTTTAGATTGAGCATCTTAGCTTTTCACTCCAGTCAGCTATGCAGTCTTGGACCAATGGCCAATTTGCCTTACTTTCCACATCGCTATAAAGGGAGCGATCATGTTTTTCCTGCCTACCCTCCCAGAGACTTTTTGTGAAAGAATATTGGGAAGGGGACTTTGGAATGTCAAAAACATTGTGAGAATAAAAAATTTTGTGGACACACTGTTTCCTTAGGTTAGAAAAACCCTGGATGCTACCATGCAGACCTTGCAGGACATGCTGACTGTGGAGGACTTTGATGTTACTGATGCCTTCCAACACAGCCGATCTACAGAGTCTGTGAAGTCAGCTGCCTCGGAGACCTACATGAGCAAGATCAACATCGCCAAAAGGAGAGCCAACCAGCAGGAAACAGAAATGTTTTATTTTACTGTAAGTGGAGTCCTGCATCCAGAACCCACTGTCTGCTCACCCCTTGGCTGACAGCAGCCTGAGAGAGTAAGCCAGCAAAACCACATGGGTCAATTAGACCTAAGACTAAGAATCTTCCAACATGCTTTTAACTTTAAGAAGCCAGGCTTGGTTTTCTGAAATGTAGAAGGTGGATTCATTGGCATTGATCTTGGGTGATGGTCTCTGAAACTTTGTTGCTCTAGAAGGAAACCAAAGAAAGTGTTATTCAACTTGGGTAAGAGAAAGTGGCTAATGAGTCAGGTGCAAGTCCCTTGGGTTATATGTACACATTACTGTGTTGATCATCTTAACTTTGGGTATAGGTTTTGGAAATAATGTCCTCAGAAACCCAAGCAAGTTGCTCATGAGTTGTTAGCCCCTCCTTTAAGACCCCAGCTTTGCTGCTTTCCATTTTACCAACAGGAGGGAGGAGTTTTAGTTCAATATGGACTTAGTGACTATGGAGTATTAGGTTGCAAGGGACCTGTCTTCCATCATGCATATTCCCACAGATACAGATCATCCAAACTGCCTGAATGCCCCCAGGATTAAAAGCTTCCTCCTTCCCAAAATAGCCCTTTTGTTTGGGTTGTGGTTGGATTTGGATATTATAACGTTTTCCTTTATCTTTGTTATCTTCCAAAACCTACTGCACTAGAATTTCCGGCATTGATCTTGGTTCTGTTCTCTGGGGTGACTCAGAGTGAGGCTAATTCTATATGACAATTTTTCTGTGGTTTCAGGGAACTGGGTTTTATGCACTGATTCTTCCCATCTGCCCTAAAGCCTTGTTTTGAGTAGCCTCAGTGTCCTGGCTACTCCTGCACATGTTCCCTTTGTCAGTGTCTCTTCTAAAGTGAGATTACCATCTGGGTGTGGTGTACCCCAGCACTAGAGAGGCTGAGGCAGGAGGATCTTGAGTTTGCGGGCAGCCTGGGGTACAGAATGAGATCCAGTCTCAACAAACAAGAAAGTAAAACTTTCCCCAGTGGTCTACCAGCAGCTTTCCATCCTTTCCGCACAAGGAACCAAGCTCCTGTTCATATGTCCTAAGATGTTATTCTTTGTCTTTGCTGTTTTAAAGCAAGTTAATAACAGCTAACTCTCCTCTGCATGCACCCAGGTCTGCATCCTCTTAAAGGTCCTATAGGTGACATCTTGGGTAGGTCTTGTGTCTGTCAACACTTAGGTATCCTCTTGGTGGATTCGTTTCATGGCTCCAAATTGTCAACATTCTCATCTAGTTGTTCATTCTACCTGCTGTCTTGCTGCTCTTGTGTCTCTAGCAGATTCAGGAAGCATGGCCTTCAAGCATTAAAATTTTTTCAATAAAAAGATGTCATGGATGTACTGGGACCAATTAGGCTTATGTTGATTGGGTTGTGCTTATCTAACCCATCACAAACCCACTAAATTCTAACATCCTATGCATCTCGTGAAAGGCCATATCGAATCATTTGTTGAAAACCACTAGTTGATACATACCATACTTCTTCTGTCAATGTTCTTTGACTTTGTGAAGAAAGAAAACCAAGCTGGTTTTCATGAGTCTTCCCATGCCCCACTCCTGGCATTCACCACTTCTATTCATTACACTCCATTTCTGTGTTCGCAGAGAGAATTTATAGGCTACAAAGATGAATGAGGAGTACATATGTGTATGAATAGTAACTTGCTTTGGCAATAGAAGCAAGGAATCTGGCTAACAGAAACAAAGAGGGTCCAGGGTCTTTTAGCTCCTGAAGTTAAAAGGATTCTGTAAAGTGTCTGATTAAGGGTCACAGGATATTATATATTTTTTCTTAATACTCAGTTTACCAACGTGGTTAACTGGTATGATTTCTTACAACTTCATATTGCAACATTATTTTAGGCCTTTTGAAGGACATAATAGTCCTTTTAATGCAAACATCAATACAATTTGATGGCATTCTTTCTTTCGTTGGTCACATGGATGAAGCTTGTGTCCACAAGCCACAGAGCCAAAGGGCATAATTTGCACTAGTCAGTGGATGACATGCCAAAGCATGAGTTACACGTCCAGGATTAGAGCTTTGCCTATGTGGGTCTGGGTGGCATGCATGGACAAACCCTGCTTATGCCTCAGCTCTGCTATCTGTGGATTATTAGACATGTGATAAAACTAGAGGATGTTATTACTGGAAGCATCCATGGAGAGCTTTGAGTCAGTAATTACCAAACTGAAGCATGTGTCTGAACTGTCAGGGTCACTGATATTTAAAATGCAGGAGCCCTGGACTTTTGAATGCTTCTGGACATCTGTTGTTCCCCAGGTGAGAAATGAGGGGTTAGATTTGAGGTGTTTTAGAATAGGACTCTGCATGTTGATGGTCTCCCAGGCCGGTGATGAGGCTGCTGGTTAGTTGTCCCGCCCAGAGAGACAACACGAGTCTATTCTTAGTCTTCACTGAGGAGCACATGGAGACCCGAAATGCCCAGGATTCTGCCCAAAGTCACACAATGAAGGGCTGCAGCTCTGGGCTTCTGTATCCTTCTGGCCCACTGTTAACTTTCCATGCACCTTGAGCAAATCACTTTCCTTTGCCCACCTCCTTGTCTCTTCCATACAAAGAAGAAAATCATATCACCCAGTGCAGTTTGGGCTCCTTTTAACTGGAGAGTCTCTCAGTGGCCCACAGATCCCTTTCTCCTGAGTGTGACCAGATGAAAGAAAGACTTGTTCTGTGGCTCCTTCCTGACAGCTCTCTGGCCTTAGCCACAGAACCCCTGGGATGATTCCTATCTTTATTGCTCTTGGCTCAGAAGCACAGCAGAGCTTTGATGACCAAAGGAGTCCTTTGCCTTGTGCTGCCTTCCACCCTTGCCTGACAAAAGCTGCTTTCTCTGCTGCCATTCTGCTGGGCTTCCACTGTGTTCCCAAATGCTACCTGAGAGCCCCAAGGACTGGGCAGCCAGCCACTCAGCAGAGTTCAGAGCAAACGCAGAGGCCTCTCTATTTCCCACATCCAAATCCCTGAGGCTAACCTGATCTACTTTGGCCTCCTCTCCCCAGAGATCAGTTCCAGAAGCAGTGACTCTATCACTTGGCCTTGCAACTTACAAACTTTCTTGTGCCTTGTGTCTTACAGAAATTTAAAGAATATGTGAATGGCAGTAACCTCATTACCAAGCTACAGGCCAAGCACGACTTACTCAAGCAGACGCTGGGAGAAGGTGAGTCAGGTGTCAGGGGGACTATGTACCCTACTGGGTCTTCTGGTGGTCCAGGAGCTACTAAGCTGCTTAAACTTGAGACACTGAGCACTTGGCAGGATGAGACCTAGTGCTGGACCCACCTGCCAGCACTGGGTATGCTGTGAAAACCACTTTGGTGCAATGCTGAGAGGGGTCCAGTCTGACTGCAGAAAATAGAGGTCAACAAGTCTTAGTTCAGGCTGGAGGTGTGCAAGGCCAAGTGATAGATGGGTTCCCACTAGACAGGAGGTGGGAATCCAGGAACCCAGGGTAAACACTGATGTTGTTAAACAGATGCCAGGAGAATTGTTGGAATGCCTAGCCAGGATTCTAGATCCAGAGAAGGGAAATCCATGTATGGAAGGGAGCGCTTGGTCCTTAAAGGACCAAGGTACTAGACTTCAGACCACTCAGTGGCTTCTACTAGCTGTAGGAATAAAGACCTAACTACTGTCATGGCACATGACATTCCATCACTTGACTTGTGCCTACTTTCCCGACTCCATCTCCCCATTCCCCCATCCCTTACTGTGCTCTAGCCAGATTGGACAAGTCTGTGATTTTCAACTCACCAAGATTATGCCTGCCCTAGAGCCTTTGCATCTATACATGTAACCACCACCCATGTCAGGGTGGTGAAATAAACCATTTCTATTGCACTCAAAAAATTCCCTGTGTCCCTTTGCAGTGAATCATTCCATTACCCAAGCAACCAATGATCTGATTTTCCTTCCCTTCCCTTCCTTTTCTTTCCTTTCCTTCATTCCCTTCCTTCTTTCCTTTCTTTCTTCCTTTTTTATTTTGATAGAGGGCCTCACTATGTAGCCCAGGCTGGCCTGGAAGTCCTGATCCTCTTGCCTCAGCCCCCTGAATGCTGGGATTACAGGTGTGCACCACCATACCCAGAAAGCACTGATCTTTATATCACCATAGATTAGTTATACCTGGTCAGAGCTGGGGAGCTTTTGGGGTTGATGGAAAAATTCTTCATCCTGATTTCACGGGTGTACATTTGTCAAAACCCATTGATGGGGGGAGGTAATAAAGATGAAGAAGAGTTAGCTGCAGTCAGCTTTCCCTTCATCTTTCTTTCTAAATTTTACCCATCCTGACATTTAGGTATTTGAGCAGAGTGTGAAGGGGCACATAAAGAGGTACAGAAAATGAAGAGGGAAGCAAAAATGGAGGAGACAGGGAAGGCACAGAAAGTTCAAGAGGAACTCTGGGAGAGGGTGTGAGGGGACAGCTCCTAAGAGTAGCAGTAAAGAGAAGAGTTGGTTTTTATGGACTGGGGCTGGGGGCTGTTCCTCATTAGCAGTGTATGAGAGGCAGGCCAGTATGCATTGGTCGCTACTTGTATTTTTGAAACCAGATTCCATGGGTTCAAAAACCTAGTTTAAAAACTAGGTTTTTTTTTTTTTAAATGAGACTGGGGTTTGAACTCAGGGCATCATGCTTGCTAGGCAGGCATTCTACCATTTGAGCCACTCCACTAGTCCAAACTAGGTGTTCTTTAAAAAAAAAAAAATTCCAGATGACTGCTTGAATTGGGAGAAGAAAGGGCATCTCGCCAGTTCCTCCCTGGAAGCTATCAGATGCAAACTTTCATTACTATCCTTGCCTAAATGACCTCAGTGAAATAATAATAATAATATTTTGGTTGGCATAAATCCTGGCATTTGATCCTTGAAGTTTATAGAGCCTTCAGCCACATCTTGCTCTGAGAAGTGATTTATCCAATCCTTCTGAGTTTTAAGCTTATTATTAGCAACAAAAGCTCCAAGAAAAGTTAGCTTCAGAAGTATAGGATCACTTGAGTCATCTAGAATCTCCATTATGCTATTTTGTAGTGGTCCAGCTGTGGATAACTGGGACAGGTCTTGGTACACTGAAAAATTCTGGAGAAGTTTTTTTTTTTTAATGAACTTTTGGTAGTACTGGGACTTGAACTCATGCTTGTCTGGCAGGCACTCTACCACTTGAGCCATGCCCCAAGCTCTTTAATGAAGTTTTTATTTTAGGATAGTTTTAGATTTACAGGAAAGTTGTAAAGACAGTACAGAGTTCCCATATATCCATACCCAGTTTTTCCTGTGTTAACATTTTATATTAGTATGGTATATTTGTCACAATTAATGAATACTGATGCATTATTATCAACTAACATTAATAAATTACTGAATGACTGAAAAAAAGTGAAGCTGAATAAATTAAGACCAACTCACCATTCATTGTTAAAAATTATATTGTGGAATTCTTAGAGCATTTGATGAAATCCTCCTGCAAGTATGAGAATTCGACTTAGAGTGATAAAATTCTGGTCTACTGGATAAAGGAGGGTATTGAAAACTCGAGTAGGCCAAAGAACTCAGTATTTGTCTAATCCACTCTTCTCAAATTTCAGCCGATGAATCACCCCAGCTCTCCTGAGCATTCGGACTCTGTCACGTAGAATGCCCTTATTATCAGAGTAGGGCTAGGATACAGTTAGTACATCAATACCCTTTTATGTATGAAGTAGAAACTTACGAAACAGGTGAGAAATATGGGGCCAAAGGAATATTTGGATAAAAAGGTCTTATTTTTTTTAAAGGGCTTTTTAAAGAAAATGAAATGAAGTATCATATCTAGGGCCTTAATTTCTCTAAAGTGCTCTTTTGATAGTGGGGGTGGGGGTGGGTCAAAGAAATTACAAGATAGAGGAACCACAAGGTCTTTTGGGTCACCTTTACTTACAAACAATTTTCTTAGAGTGATCGAACCCAGATACACAAGTAAAAAGCTGTATGTGCCCAGCACGTTGGCATTCTGTGCTGTAAGTGATGCATGCTACTGGCATATCTTAGGAAGAGCACACACCCTCATCTGCTTTTGGCTGTTGCTATGTCATTTCATTGGCCGAAGAATTCTCAGTTTATCGTCACCTCTGGGTCTTACGACTGTGACCTTTTCATTGCTTTTGGGTCTGGGTATTTATTTGGTAAGCTCCAGGTTTTATACCCAGGACGCAGTTGGTTTTTCAGTTTACTGAAGCCCCTCAAGGATGAATAGTGCAATGTCTATAAAAGGAATTGAGCATAGCCTTTTCAGCCCATTATAGTGCAAAATGGCCACCAGGACCAGATAGTCTCTCTAGGAAATAGCTGAGGCACCAACTATATATATATATATATCTCAGCAGGTCTAAAAAGGTTAAGGAAGGATGGGACATTTTTTGATTTCTGATATGTTAGACGTTGAGACAGGATCCTAAAGATGCTGGTAATGGGGTTCTTGGGAGCTACAATGGAGTATAAAGCTGATAGGTAACATGTGAGATCCCTTGCCTTGAGTGTGTTTTTGCATTGTACTCTATGTCATAAATCCTTTGATTCTTTTCTCCTTCCCCTTCCCTCCCTGCCCCCATCCATCTTCCCATGTATCCGAAAGTATAGCACTATGCACTGCCAAGCCTGGGGACACAGTAGTACACAGACAGATGAGATCTCTACCTTCATGGGAAAGAGAGACCTCAGTCAACAAGCTGCAGTTGTGCATTTCTGAATGCTGGGAATACATTCTAGGAATGAGGTAGGGATTTCATCATTGTGAGAACATCACAAGAGGGTGCTTACACAAGCCTAGGTGGTCTAGCCTACTACACACCTAAGCTACACAAATACACACACACACACAAGACTAAATCATACACACAAGACAAAATGATGCAGTCAAAATACACAGTCAACATGAGATGAGGCCATTACCAGCATAACACAACATGCTGTTTCACAGTAACGTTTTGTTTTTATAAGTGGGAATACATTCTAAAATAATGACAAAAGCATAGCATAGTAAACACATAAACCAATAAGAGTTGTTTGTTACAATTACCAAATGTTATATACTATAATAGTTGCACACACTAAACTTTCATATGAGTGGCAGTGCCTCGTGTGTTTGCACAACCATCACCACAAATGTGAGAAATGTATCACTACAATAACCCTGGGATGGCTATAATAGGAATAGATGATGCTATAGGTTGATAGAAACATTTTATCTTCACATATGTGGTCTGTCCTTGACCAAAATGTCATTATGCAGCATATGAATGTACTGAGTAAAGAATTAAATTAGAATAAGTGGCATGAATGGCAAATTTGAACTCAGCTACAGACAATCATATGTATGGGGCAGAGGAAGACCTGCTTTCTACTGGGTGGTCAGAGAGGCCTCCTATGGATGTGATGTCTCAGCTGAGCCTGAAGGCCAAGAAGGTGCCAACAATATGAAAAAAAAATGGAAAAAGAGTACTGGGCAGAGGGAGCAACATTTATACTGGTGGGAAAAAATGTCATGAGTAAGAAGAACTAATGAATGGCAGTGTCCATGTAAGACAGTAGTCCATATAAGAGTGAATGGTGTAGGAGCCAAGAAATGATGGAGAAGAAAGTGATTTCCAGAATTCACTCTAAAGGTAGTCACAATGGACTGCAGCTCTGAGGGAAAGGCTGGACTTTCTAGCAGGGGTCCTCATCCAGAACAACCCCAAGGCTATCAGCAGACCCCTTTCACGGAATGCCATTGGCCTAACAGGAGGCCTTGGGTCTGTGTGAAAATTTAACTCAAACTGGTATCTCATAAGAATTTTCCACAGATCTCACACACACAAGCAATTAAGCAGAACAAATTTGCCTGTTCTACCTAAATTCTCCCCTTTCTTGCTTTGATTCCTGGCTCCAATTCAACCCACTGCAGTTACCTTACAACTACTGATGACCGTGGTCAGGAATTCAAGAATGTGTGTCAATCAGTCCAAGTCCTATTCTCAGGTTGTTCTCTTCCTCTCCTCATTTCTCTGTCTTGCTGGACCACATGCTGCTTTGTTTTCTGTAGAAAACAGTAACAATAGAAAAAAGGTGTTTGGTTTTTGTTTTAAAAAGCATCCCCTATTCCTTCATTGGTAGGATTCTAGAGTTTAGAGCTGTGCTGCTCACTGTAGAGGCCACTGGTCACATGTGGCTGCTGAACATTTGAAACATGGATCAAGATGTGAAAATGGTCATTGAAATATGCAAATGAATACCAAGTTTTGAAGACTTAGTACACACTAAGGAGAATATAAAGTATCTTATTGAGTTTTTATATTGAATATTGAAATGACAACATTTTTTATGTATTGGATTAAATAGAATATATTCTTTAAGCTAATCTCTTTTTGTAATGTGGCTACTAGAAATTATGGCTCTCAGTACAGTTCTATTGGACAGCACTGGTCTAGAAGTTCTCAGCTGTGGAAGTTCTGTCTTCCTAAAAGAATTGGAAAATGGCAAGGGGTGTGCATTTTTAGAGATCAATGTGATGGGAAAACAAATATTCATGGTATTTGATGGATGAGAGTCAGCAATGTATGTATCTGCAATATTTTTAGATAGGTAATACAACTAAGGATGTTGAGGCCCAAAGAAAGGCAGTGACTTATCCAAGACCACACTGTGTATTGGTAAGAGTGAATATTAGGACTTGGACCTCTGAATTCTCAGTACAGTTTTGGTAGGAGAAGAAGATTTTGTTTAATCTCTTCATTTGGAGCACCCCATCCCTGTCCAGGATGCTGTCTTCTAAGGTGTGGTATCTCTGAAGGAAAGGAAGCCAAGTGCCACCTTGAGGGAGTCACTGAGTTTGAGGCAAGTTCCACTGGAGACAGCTGTTCTTTCCTCACCCATGTTTAGGGGAGATGGGGAGCCAGATTCCTCAGGCCAAGCTCAGATTTGAAGTCAGACAACCTGGATTGGAATCCAAAGTGTACTGCAGCAGGGACTTAGGAAAACCACTGCATCTATTCGCATCATTTTGCTCATGTGCTGTTACAGGGATGAGACGCCCTGTATACAACTGTACCGTGACACTTACTATTTTATTGAAGGATGTACTTACGGGCTGTTGTAATCATTGGGCACTGAGCTTCTTGGAGGTTAAAGACTTGTTCATTTACTCATTCAACAAATATTTTTTGAGTACATACTTTGTGTCAAACACTGTCCTTGGTATTATTGCAGTTTTAAGAACAGACATGATTCCATCCCTCATAGAACATAGTGTTCTGTGTTCATGGAGATAGACTGGCAGTAGACAAGTAAAATTATAGGCAAGAGCAATATTAATGATAATCTGACCATAGAGAGAAGTTACATAGGGAGAAATGATATAAGAAGACAAATGCCCACTTCAGATGGAAGAATCTTTTCTCTGGACCCAGCTTTTCAGCTGAGACCCCAAAAGCAAGCAAGAGCTAGATGTGCAAGTGTCAGTGGCAAGAGACTTCCAGGAAGCAGAGATCTATTTGAAGACCATGCATAAGGACTCTGTGTCTGGAGTACCGTGCTGAAAGAGAAAGTAGTACAAACAGATGAAGCAGTAGTTCACAGGGTCCCCTGTGATCTCAAAGGGTTTAGGAAAATATTATGACACTTGGATTTTTATTCTGTGTGCAGGGGATTATTCTAAGCAAGGGAACGACATGTTAGGACTCATAGTTTAAAGAGATTTCTTTGGCTGCTAAGTCATGAATAGATTGTAGTAAAATAGGAAATCCAGTTAAAGGAAAGTAGCCAGGCTAGAGATGATGGTGGCCTGGATCAAGAAGATAGTGTTGAGTTAGAGGGAGTGGACAGACTTAAGTTGAAAGAGAGTTTTCAATTCTTAGACTTCCAGCTTGAACAAATGGGTGGGCGATGGTCCATTTATTGAGAGGCTGAAGACTTGGATAGGAGTAGGTTTGGGGCATGGAAAGAAGAGAAAATGCTTTGGGAAACATTGAAGGCATGAGGTACTAAGAGAGCAATTGGTAATGAATGGATAAGTAAATGTGGTCTATCCATATAATGGAATATTATTAAACAACAAAAAGAAGTAAATTATGAATCATGCTATATGGATGAACTTCTGAAACATCATGCTAAGTGAAGGAAGCCAGAAGCAGATCACATATTGAGTAATTCCCTTGACGTGAAAGGAATAGGCAAAGCTACAGAGAGACTAGTGGTTGCCTGAGGCAGGAAATGGGAATACAATGACTATAAATGGGCACATGGGTTTTGTTTTAAGGAAAAGACGAATGTTCCAATTAAACACCAACATATAATTTTTCCCCCCAGGAGAGAGAGCAGAATGCGGCACTACCAGGTGAGAGTTGGAGACTCTTGTTTTCTTGTTCCAGCTGCCAAAGGTCTGAGTGGGGAAGAGTTGGGAGAGAGGAGGGAGGAACTCACTAGTTGGGGGTGAGGGGAGTTGCCAAGGGAAAGGCACAGTTGCTACTGAGGCTGTGAGGCTTTTATTAGACCTCCAGGCTGGTGATGGGGAGCAGGTGCTTTTGGTGCTATGGGGCAGTGGGGTATTTTCCCTTAGTGCTGTCCATTGGGTTGGACAGTAATATTGACTCCAGGGTGACTAAGGGCAGCCAGTAGAGGCCAGAGGATGTGGGTGACTGTTTTCCTCTTTCACATCTGTTACATGGCTGCTGAGCAAACTGCCCAGCCTAGGTGGCTGGGCCCAGCCTGGGTCCCTTTGACAAGGCTTTGAAATTGGCTGGTATTGTGCACAGCTAGGCACATGCATGCGCATACACACAAATGTGAGCCCAGACCCCCGCGCTGCCCACACCCTGGCTTGGACTTCCTGGGCACCTCGATGGGCTGATGGACAAAGTAACACACAGGGAGCTTCTGCTTCTTCTCCAGCTGGTCCAGCATTTCCCTTTGCTTTTCCCTGAGCAGACCAGAGCCAGTGAACACTTTCCACTCAGCAGCTATGAGCTGGCGGCTGACTTGCCTCTCCTTTCAGAGAGTTTAGCTCCATGAGCAATTTGTTTTTTGCAACCTGGTTGTTCCCTGTAGCTCCCTTCTTTCTGAGTTCCCAGCAAGAGCTCTTGTGCTTCCCTACATGAATCTAGACAGTGACATGGAGGCCTACACTTTGCCCTGTGTTAATCAGGAGCTACTTTTTGCCTCACTTTCTGGGCCAGTGACCTGATGAGATTCTTTCCTTTCCTACAAATTCTTCCCAGTGGCCCAGAATCCTAGAAAGCTGTCCTACTTGGCAAGAGCAGAGATGAGCTCTAAACTCTCCCTTGCTCATTGGGAAGGGAGTAGGTGCGGCAGAGGCTTGGAAAGCTGGGGATTTAAATGTCCTGGGCTCAGAGACCAAGGGTTCTACAGAAATTCAGCCTGTGCAGCTGTTCCTCTGGGCCCAGGAAATGTGGGAACATGGGGATGATTCATGCCAGGCGAGGGCCTTCCCACATATGGGGCAACAGATTTGCAGGGTCACTTTCAAAGAACCTTGGAGAAACAAACTTGTTATTGTTCCTTTTTTCTGGCAAGAGGATGTTGTTATAGTCCGAAACAACAGAAGCCATATTTTACACCAAAGGCTGCAAATAGCCAAACAGATGGGAGATGAATTGAGCCATCACTTACATCCTTCTAACTCCTAGGACTTTGGCAGGAGGAGATTGCTCCAGCAGAATTCAGGAGAGGAGAGCTGTGATTCATCCCTTGGCCAGGTCTCAGGCTCCTCCTTGGGGGAAAGCTGAGGGTACATGTATCTTAAATAAAATGTGTATGTATATGTAGTTTAAATAAAGCCCTCTGAGATGTTGTCTTCCACACCCTCTTTGACCGAGGGCCTGAGAAATACAGGCTCAGACTACCAGACCTCCCACTTAGATATCCTGCACTAAATTGCAGATCTTGACCAATGTGCTCTGGTTCCTGGCCAAGGTCAAAGGTGACTTTGTTAGAAAACTAAATGCTTCCCTTTACCTCCAATGTCATTATTAAATCGTGAACCTCATTGCCAACTTGGAAGTGGTTTTAAAATTAATCAGAAAGGCCCTGGTTGATGTCTCTGTACTCTGGCCCTTTTATCTTCATAGATTCTCACACATGGTGTGTCATCTGGGACAGTCATTTGGGCAAGTTACCTCAGCCAAGAAGCTCTTCACTTGTATAGATGGACTAGTTTTTAGCATATGGTCTGCAAACATGTTATATTTTCTCATGCTTAAGAACCTTATCTCTGAATGGCCCAAATTCATAGTTACTCTGTAATTTAGGCTGGCCATATGTGATAATGCACTTAAAAAGTATATTATCAGCAGGGTGTGGTGGTACAGGCCTATGATCCCAGCAGTTGGGAGGCAGAGGCAGGAGGATCACCAGTTTGAGCCAGCCTAGGCTATAGTGAGACCCTGTCTTAAAAAACAAAGAGCTGGGGATGTAGCACAGTGGTAAAGTACTTGCCTAACAAGTTTGATCCCCAAAACTATGAAAAAAACATGTATTGTAAATAGAAAAACAAGATGCAAGCATGAGATTTTAATTATTGTGATTCAAAGAAAATCTAGCTTTCCTAACCCAGGTTGACATCACCCCGTGGTCTGGATAAGTGGTGAAATCACTTGACATCATGTCCAAACATATGCAACTTGGTACACACCATGTGCAGCCTTCAAGATCCTGACTGCTATTGAACTTCAATATTGCCACCATTTTGGATATTGATATCCACATTTATTGGGTTGCCTGGGGAAATTTTTAATCACATCCTTTTTGTCACAGAATTATTTCCAGGTCAATGCCTGTGTTGCCAACATATGTTAATTTTCATCTGGTTTGAAAGGCAGAAAGGGGACATTGGTCTCTGGTTTCTCTTTCTTCCTCTCTATGGCTTTCTCTGTTCCTGTTTTCCCTGCCTCTCTCTTTCTTTCTTTCCTTTTTGCTCTGCAACTAAGCAGCAGAAGAGATGGAAGGCTTAGGCTGCCCCACTTTCCTTGGCTGAGCTGTCCCCCTGCTCCCCACTTTGTGCCCCACCCAGCATTTCAGTAAGTTGATACAGATTTGATATCATGCAAAGTTGGGATAGCTACGTTTCCTTGTCAGATTCCAGCCAGTGCACAAAGCACCACAAAAGAAAAAAATTCTGGTGTGGTTCAAACTATCCTTTGCTCTCTGGATTAGGCGGGAAAAATGGGGAAACATATCCTACTTTCCTTTTATTCCACTTTGCAAAACAAATAATTTAAACCCAGAAATTCTTAGGACTCAAACCCTCTAGTAGGCATCCTAGAGCTTTTGATACAGAGTGTCCAGTGCCTTCACCAAGAGTTTCCACTCTTGCCAGCAATGAGAGTTTTAATAGATAGTTGAATGCAACTGCTAGCAGTTATACGGTGAAATCACTTGCTCAATTTCACACTCAATCTGGGGCCTTAAGTAGGAAGAGCTGCCTACTCCCCCACCTTCAGTCACATTCTATTTGTGTGACCTTAGGAACATTTCTTAATCTGATATAGGATATAGGCTCACTTGCCTTATGTGTAAATGGGTTTAATAATTCTTAACAACCTCACAGGGTTGTTGTGAGATAAAGAAATGATCTGGGAACCCCAAACACTAGGAAAACTGGGTGACAATGGTGCTATCCTCACGTTGTTCCTAATTGCCAAACTTAAAACCTATGACCTCGAGTCACACTTTTAGCACTCTTTCGGCTCTTCCATTTGGAAATTCAAAAGCAGATCCATTGTAAGAAACCTCACCCCTCTCTACATATAGACATCCTCAAAAAATAATTTTTGAAAAACAAATGACATGGACATAGCTAACCAAATTGACATAGATCCAACATGGGCTGGATACAATCTTGCCTGTTGTTTCTTTTCAAAATTTTGGTCTGTGCTGTTATTTTGGTTCTATTGTTTGGGTGGCATGCTATTATTTGGACTTAACTGTGTCTTTGCCCATGCATGGCCTTGTAGCTGGCAGCATTTGCTCAACATTTAGACACCTAGGAGGAGTTAGCTGGAGTTCCCTACATGGCTGGGCTGCTGAAGGATACAGGCACAACAAGCCCAGTAAGAAACAGCATGGCCCTCATTTATCTTGACTGACTCCACAGTCCCTAAGATACTTGCCCGTTCACAGAAAACAATTGAGATTTGGGAGGGGGTCTTTATTTGTCATATGTGAATATTATCTGTGCCTGGTTGAGTTCCTCAAATTTTGAACCAGGCTATTTGAAAATGAACAGCCTCTCTTGGTTAGATAACCTTAAAAAGCCCTTTGCCTTGGAAGGCTGGCAGCATTCAGTCAGGCCAATTTGGGTGGTGAAATGAGCAAATAAGCCATCACAGGCATATGCATGGTGAACTCTGGAATATGGGCCTAGTGTTTGTGGCTGTTTCATTTTTCCTTGTGAACTGTGGTATGATTCCCCATCCTTGGCCAAGACTGGAGCACAGGGAATGGAGATCCTAAAGTAAAGCAAGACACTTTCAATCTGACCCCATAGCAAGGATGAAAGTGGTAGATAAGTCCTCAGATGAAAATGGCAAGGTGCTCCAATGCTCCATGACTGTTAGAAAAAAACCCTGGATTTGGAGCCAAAGAGGCTTGGCTCTGCCAGTTCTTCTCTCTGAGCCTCAGTTTCTGCCTCTGTAAAACAGGGTCATATGTACAGAGTTTATGATGCATTCAGTGTGGTAGTGGATTTGAAAGTGCTTTAATCAGAAGTGTACTTGACTAAAGAGTAGGATATTATTATCCTGGATCACCTGGGGACCCTAAAGAACTGCAGCCTGTCTCCTGGCATCACTTTCTTTATTTCTGTAATGAGAATAATAATTGTCTGACTCTCAGATCAATGAAATAGTGATTAGTCAAGACTATTCGAAATGCCAAGAGGCATTAGGAAGATGAGTGCCCTGCTACATTGGGAGTTGAGACTTAGTAATGGATTTAAGCCAAGGTAATGAAAATTAACCCTCCCAGTCATGTTTGAAAGTCTCTTGCTTTCTTGGGCTACTGATGACATCTCTCTCCCCTGATCCCCTTTCCATCTGGTCAGCTTTGCAGGATGCCAGCCTCTAATTGGAGTTTCAATGCTTTCTTGGACACATACTATTTATTCCCCCTCTGACCCACCCCGGTCCATAATTTAGAGTGCATTTGTGTTATAGGAGAGTTGCTCCTGCTTGGCATTGTGGGTAAAATTAAGATCTCCTAAAACTTTCAGATGGAACATTGGAAACCAATGTGTTGGGGGGCTAGGGGCTCCCATTTGCATTTTGTGTTCTCCTCAAGTTATGGGTTTTAAGAGTGTCTTTCCCAGTGTATGCTTATGTTGGTTGCTTTCTTGATTTCTTTTGTTCCATTTTCCCCTAGGCCCCCCTGTCTTCCCCCTAAGCCACAGAAAATGAGGAGACCTAGGCCTCTTTCAGTGTATAGCCATAAACTCTTTAACGGCAGTATGGAAGCGTTCATTAAGGTACTTGCTGGGGAGCCATGGAGTCCGCGAATGCACCCAGTGCAATGGCAGCCTCTCTTCCCCTGCCCTCCAGCCAACAGCCCTGCCCAGACAGGAGTCTACACTCCTCCCCTCAGCCAGGCCCTGTTGAGCTAGTGCCTCACTGCAGCCTGCTCTTCGCTTCAGCAAGGACTTTTCCTCAGAGCTGTTTTGCCTCTGGCCAGTTGCCCCTAAGTGCTGTCCATGACTCTCAGCTTTAGGGGGAGGGATTTGATGAATGAAGTCCAGGTGGAGTTGAACTGTCTGCACAGTGATCTCAGCCAGCTGTGCTTCCTTGCTGCAGGAAGCACAGTCCTAACACCAGAGGGGTAGCTGGGGAAACCATGTTACCCAGTGTTACACCTTCGTCCCCTAAGAGGAGATTGAGAGAACACAAAGGAAATCCCTGTGGATAGCTGTGTTTTTGTACTACTGAGGGTTGGTTTTTTTTTTTTTTTGTAGTTGAGTGTATGGGAACAAAGGAAACTTATAGTTCATATGAGAGAAGTCCCTCACACCTAATTTTGTCTCTTGTTAGTTGGGTTGGGAGATGGTTGATGAGAAGAAGAGTTGAGGTAGTCCCTTTAGAATTCTAGGTTAACCCTTTATACTAAACTTAAACTAAAAAATTATTTTTTTCAGCTAGGTGAGTTTCTCTTTTTTTTTCTTTGATATAAAAGATACAAGATAAAACCATCCCAGATAGAATAATGAAGGGCAAATAAAGATGGTGATGGAATTGTCCAGAGCAGCAGGTAGACCTCCACCTGCTTGAGGAAAGGAAGGCACATTACTAACATTACTTAGGGGAACAGAGGGGAAAGTTCTTGCCAGTTATTTGAGACCCCCTCATCAGCCAATGAAGACACTTTCTTCAGGAAAGAAGACTGGAATCAGGGGAAACAAAGGCTGTTGGGCAGTGCTGATGATTTGGAGTCATAGAAGCTTACCCTGCATCAACTCTCTATCCTCTGGCCTCAGACAGGGTGAAATACAGGACTTCCAGGACAGGGAGTGACTGCATACAGATAGGGTCAGCCTTAAGCATGGGAGGAAGTAGACAGGACAAGTCTGGGTCCCAGGACTAGCTCTACCTGTGGACTGAGTAGTGGGGAAGGAAGAGTGGAGGAAAGTGAAAGTGAAAGAGTAGGACTCAAGTTAGGATTGCCCAGGGGCAGGGGGCAGCAAGGGGTGCCCAAGAGGACAGAACATAGAGAATGACCTAAAGGACAGGTCCCTCAGGGTACATCAGGAAAGAGGAACCAAATGATCCAGAGAGAGCCATCCAGTGGTTCATGGCAGGATGGTACTATCAAAGGAGTCCTCTCTTTCTTTATCCTCCCTCTTCTCTCCTCCAAGACTTTCTTCTCATTCACCCTTGCCCAAGACAGAGCCACACTCCACAGCCTAGAAAGGACCAGCTTATGGCTTTCTGGATCGACAAGCTCAGAGCAGGGCCTGAGAGGTTTTTAGCACAGAAAGTGGAGTGTTTAGGTTGGCTCAGGGTGAGCACTGGGCAGGTTACCCCCACAGGAACAAATTCTCAGAGAGTACAGAGCAAGAAGAGCTATGAGCTAGGGCACAGGAAACCTGGCGAGAGGCTAGGAAAGAAGGATAGGAATAAAGAGGAGAGGGCCAGGACAGAAGGAATCCCTTGTTGGCGGGAGAGGGGGGGTGAAGGGGGGGCAACAGAAAGAATGAGGGTTCAAAAACAAAAATAACTTCCCTGATGTGCTCTTGTTTTTGGAAATGGGTGATCAGTTGGGATACTTGGAAGGAATTAACTCTTCCCTGGCAGTATTTGAAAATTAGTATATTCTCTAAGTAAAGAGGTCCTATATATAATGTGTGACTATAAAGTAATCTGACTTTATTCTTCCTGACCAACTTGGAGCTTAATTATGTGAACCTTTGCCTGTTGCAGGTAGTCACCCTGGGGAGCCACCTTCATACTCTAAATATATCACCATTGCTGCAAGTGCTTTTTGACCAGGTCTTTAAAGTCCATTGCATGACCTTTATTGTTGGTGCCAAAACTCTGTATTAGAATAGACTCCCTGGTCTTTGGAACAAGAAGTTCCATTCAAAGCTTAGCTTTGTGATGCCACTGGAGGTACAAAATGGCAAGAGGGAACATGCTACAGTGATGCTGGTCAACCAGCTCTGAAAGAGTCTCCAAAAAGGGACAACCAAGAGCATCAGAGCAGTGACAGCATTGTTGGAATGAGTCACAGCCTGGTAAGGAGATGAGGTGGGAGAGTAATAGTCACTTGACTGAGAAAAAGAAGATACATTCATTACATGACAGCGTTTCTTTATAGTCACTTATATCTCCTACAACAGTGAAGTCTAACAAAATTGTACCGTGTACCACCTATGGGCTTGCTCGCCAAGGTTACCTTCAGTGCAGTTTCACTCTGAAGGATTGTTAACTTTCAGAGAATGAATAGGCAGAATAATAAAATTACTCCTTCAGCTATTGAGAGTAGGCTTTAGTTTTCTATACACATTCTCATACTATCTGAAAGGATATTAAAGTAAGAGTCCTCAGCTTTGAAAAACAACACCCGTGAAAAGATTTTCAGTAAAATAATACTACTGGAACTCCATGATTATGATGGTTTGACAGGATGAGGAAGCAGCATTGAGTTAACAATAATAGATAAGTCTTGTTGGGGTTCGATTTATCAATTTTTTTGAACTCTTCCCTAATCAGCCACTTATAAAATTCTTGGTGTTTTTCTTTTAGACAAAAGGAAACCCTATTTTTATTATGAGAGCCCATTTTGAAGCACAGGAGGTCCACCTCTGGGGCCAGTAGAGAGTCCCCACCTTGCTTCTATATAATGAGAATGACAGCCTCCTTCATGAGTTTGGGGTGAGGATGAAATTAGCTAATGTATGTCACATTTCTAGATCACTGGTCAGCACATAGTAAGCACTATATAAGTCTGGCCTGTTATCATAATTAATTTTAGGACACTGCTCTAGAGTCCCATTGGACCAGGCTATTGCTTGGTTCTTGGATTCAGGTGGGTTTAGCCAGTATGATATTGATGATTCCAGTTGTTGATATGCTAGAGACTGAACAGGTAACACCAATTTGAAGGCATACATCCCTTACATTTTCAGCTCAGCCTCCTCACTGAGCCTGAAGGAGACCTAGTTCCCATCGCTGAACCTGACCCATGCCCACATGGCAGGAAAGAATAGACAGGCTTCCCTGGATCTGGATGTCTTCAGTGATTTGTGGTGAAAGCTGAGACTGCAGTCCATCATTTACGGTGCTCCAACTTGCCTTCCTTCCCTTCCCCAGGCTTCCCAGTTCTTGTTTTACCAGTAGGGTCTCAGTGCCAGCATGAGGATCGGGGTAGAAAGGATATCAAAGCCAAGTTTCCATCCAGGAAAAATTACCAAGATGTTGAGAGGAAAACATGGGGGCAGTTTGGAATCTGGAATCAGGTGTAATCCTGCCGGATCCCATCCAAAGGGATCTTGTAACATTGAACTTTTTACCAAGAATGAAGTTTTCTAAAATGAATTTCAGGGACAGTAGCCATAAAGGTGTGTTTTCCTCCTTTCTGTGGGCAACTGGGCTTACCTTATGGGGTCTTCAGTAGGTTCTTGTCCACTGGTGAATCAACAGTCCCTTTTGTTGAAGGATTGTCCAGCTAGATTGGAGCTGGGAATGAGTTCAGGACATACAGTTCCTGCACTTTGACAACTGAAAGAGTCCCCCCATCACTGGTGTCTGGGAGAGAGGCAAAGGCAGCCTATTGGAAGGCTGGCTGGGGGCAGCTCCTGGAAGTCCTGTGAGGCTCTGAGGCTCAGGATGGCTCTCCCCATGGGCAGGCTGTTGGGCAGACTCCCCTGGACCTTTGCTGGCTGCCATTGCATTTCGGCGTTCACGGACTCTGAAGGATCTGCTTACTCTAACTGATCTTATTCCTGCATAATCTTTTCTTTTTCTCCTGCTCTGCTGCCTGTTTATTTTTTGTTATCAGAGGAAGAAGAAATGCTCGAACCAGGAACCAGGTATTTACTAGAAAGGCCCATTAGCCCCATGCAACCAGATGGAAGCTGTCTTTAGATCTGACTTCCAGAACAGAGTCCACTTTGCCCATTGCCAATGGGTCCCTTTCCTTCCCTCTTCCTAACTGCAGTAGAGCAAGGGCAGAATTCACAGGTGGGGTGTGGAGGAGCCAAGAACCCATCCAAATTCTTGTCATCTTTACAAAAGCAAGTTACATACGCCTTTTTGTTTCTTCACCTTCTAAGGAGGCTAGTAATTTAATTTGGCCCCTTTCAAAGAAAGTTTAAACCAATTTTATGCTCTTTAAGTGACCTGAAATATTAGAGAGGTCAATCAGTCCTGGAATCCAAAAGGAAATTGCCCCTTACCCAGCCATATGTGACTACTGGCCAGTCTAAGAAGTAATTGAATATCCTTTCACATTCCAGGTACAGATGTTTAGAATTGTGTCTTACTCAGCCTTTTGACTAAGGTTATCCACTAGATGGCCAATGGCTGACATTAGTGACTTCCAGAACTTCTTGAGACATGCTTAATATTAAAGTATGCATCTGGATGTTTAGGTTGCAACATCACGAGTAGAACCAGCCCTCTCTTCTTAGGGTTCCAGTGGACAGGTGGGGCCAGCTCTGCTTCCCCCCCACAGTGTTCTTCTTGTTTCTGGCATGAGGCACTGCAGCAATGGGATGAGGCTTTGATCCTACCTTTTATTCCTGAGCAGTGGGAGAAGATGTTGAATTGGGCAAAGTGGAGTGAGAGGCAGGGCACTCTTCAAGGTTAGACTCCAGCCCCCTCCATATGACAGGTTCCCTCTTCCTACCCTGATGTGCCTGTCAAGCCTTCTGAGCCCAGAGTCCTTTCCAGATGGGTAAGAAGAGCATTTCTTTAAAATTATCATAGCTATGTCTTTCTCTGCACTTAACTGAAGACTTCATTAGGATTAGTAGTTCCTTGCTTGTTTTCTTACTAATACGGTGGTACTAATATTCTGGCTTGAGTTGATAATCCATGCTTGCAGTGACTTTTGCCTATGGTGGTTGCCAAGCCCAATAAAACTCACGTTCTTTTTTCTCTTAAGGATTCAGGACAAGCTATACCGCTTGTAGTTGAGAGTTGCATCCGATACATCAATTTATATGGTAAGCTCAATTTTGGGTCAAGTGTTTTTGGTTCTCTGCAGAACAGGTGCTGGACTGTTCTGGTAGGAGATGAGATTTTATTCATCTTGGAAGACTTCCTGTCACAGCTCTGTTTCCAGGGGGGAAATGCTCTAGGGGACAAGCTGTTATTCTGAGTGCTGTCTCTGAAGCCTGTGTGGCAGGGATGGGAATATAGAAGATAGTGTGAGGAACAGAACCTAGGATAGCTGGGGAGGGATGATGACATGGACCAAAGGACTATTTCAGTTTCTTCCCTATTCCTACCCAACCCAGAGTCAATAAACTAGTTAATACTATTGGATTGTAAGTTCCACAAAGAAAATAGTATCTGGGATTTGTTGACCATGGTGTCACCAGAAGGTAGCTTGTGCTTGTCCACTTATTCATTCCTCCAAAAATATATTTATTTAGTGCATAGTGGGCACTGTTTTGAACAATGGGAATATATGTGTAGACAAGAAAGGAACCTGCTCTGAGTAGCTTACATTCAAAGTTAAACAGATAAGGAAATACTCAAAAAAATAAATACGGTCTCTATGGGGAATTCATTTCAGAACCCCTGCAGATACCAAAATCTGCAGACACTCAAGTCCCTTACATAAAATAGTGTTCACATATATCTGTACACATCCTCGGCCACAGACTTTAAATCATCTCTAGATTACTTGTAATACTTAATACAATTAAATGCTATGTAAATAATTGTTATATTGTATTGTTTAGGAAATGATAAGGCAGAAATCTGTTCATTCTCAGTACAGATGTAATTTCTTCTTGAATGTTTTCAAGCTACTGTTCGTTGACTCCATAGATGAAAATGCCATGGATAAGGAGAGTTGACTGTGATATAACTATAAATAGTGATAATGCCAGGAAACCAATTAGAAGGAGATAGGGAATGGCTGAGGGTGCTGCTTTGGCTAAGGTACTGAGAAGAGATGTCTCTGAGGAGATGGTAATTGAACTATGTCCCAAGTGAGTAGAGGAAGGCAGCCATGCAGCCCAGATGGAGAGAATGGATAAAGACAGATGGGAGGAAGGTCAGTATGGCTGAGTGTGGTATGAGGAGGAGGGTGGGAGTAGACACTTAGGTAGTAGAAATTCAGTATTTCTTAACTAAAGATATGAACAGTATTTATTGGGCATATACTTTGTACAAACCAAACTTTGACTAAATCCTGGCTTTTAAGAGTAAGCATTTCCAGTATTATAACATGGAAAATTATTCTGTACAGAAAAACTGAGTCAGGGAAAAAATCAGTCTCCTCCAGTGATTTCTAGTAGAGATGAAACAGACCCTTGATTCTCTATCATATAGGCTATTCTTCCATCATTGCTGTTGTATCAGGTGTCTGTGAGTCTCCTCTTTGTTATGGTTTTGTAGGAACATGTAAAAAGAAGTGAGATTGTTCTTTAATAATTGAATTGCCTCCGAACTCCTGGACTCCCAGGCCAGAATGCCCCCTGGAGCCTTGCTCTCCTAAAGGAAGAATTTGTTGAGTGAGGAGCAGTGTTGATAGAAATGGCTCATGGCCTTTGCCTTCAAGCCCAGGCAGGATCTTCACAGATGTGGGAAGCAGCATGTATCTGAGTGTTTGGGGCATGTATTGAGTGTCTGGAGTTCATTGCAAAGGCCATTTCTGAGCTTCTGCCAGGAGATCTTCATTGGGAATGGCTCTATGGTAAAGGATGGAAGGAGAAAGAGACAAGTCTGGGGAAGAGTCACCAATATTCCCTGTGGCCTGATGAGTTCTAGTCTCCTGTCGCTCATTGTTTGCCTTTTTTGTTCGTTTCTCTTTTAGGACTCCAGCAGCAGGGGATCTTCAGAGTTCCAGGGTCTCAAGTTGAAGTTAATGACATCAAAAATTCCTTTGAGAGAGGTGAGCAAGACTGGCCAAGGGGAGCCAGGGAGGGTGTTAGCATGGGTTTTAGAACTTGTGGTGCAAAGAGTCTTTGATTCACACTGGTTTGCAAAAGCCAAGTGCACACATCTCTTCCAAACTTCACCTTCGGTGACTTCACCTTGGTAGCTTGAAACAAGCCATGACTGGATTGTTTACACCACAGAAATTGCAAACTTCAAGATCATTTTGTTCCTCTCCAAAGAGCTAACTCTTAAACATTTACCTATTTCTGCAGCTTGAACATACCTAATCCAAAAATCCAAAATGCTCCAAAATCCAAAACTTGTGAGCACCAACATGACATACAAGTGGAAAGTTCCATATCTGACCTCATGTGACTGGTCACAGTTAAAAGGCAGGTATACTAAAGATGTAATACAAGATTACCTTCAGGTTTATAAAGGTTGTGTGAAACACAAATAAATTTTGTGTTGAGACTTGGATATTTTCCCCAGCTACCTCATTATGTATGTGCAAATATTCAAAAAAAAAAATCCCAAATCCAAAACTCTTCTCGTCTTGTGCATTTTGGATGGGGGAAGCTCAAGCAGGACTGCAACTGCTTCTGGGGACTTTCTCCAGTGTGCGTCATAGTAGTTGCTGGGAAGGAGAGCTCTGTAAAGAACTTGGAAATATCCATGTGAGTTTGTAAGGGATGCTGCCTTTTAGAAAAGTTGAAAGAACAGAGATAACTCCAGGTAGCTTTTAGAACAGCCTAATTCTTCATTTTTCTCCTGCAGTATTTTTGGTAAACCACACATTGGGAGAAAGAGTGCACACATTCCCCTCCTCCACCTAATTCCCACTTTGATTAGTCAAGGATGTGAAGGCTTATTGGAAATGAGGTTGGACACATATGATTTATTTCGTAGCCTCCTTTGGCCTCAGAATCATTGGTGGGGACAGGCAACCGATGACAGTGACCATGCACAGGAAGGTCTTTCTAGTTCTTACACATTGGCCTTTGTCTGCACAGTGCTTATCCCTCTGCTACAGTGAAACTAGAAGTCTATGCATTTTCATTCAAGAAAAAAATTTGCAGACATCCTGCTTCCTAAATCTGGGACAAAGCCTGATACTAACAAGTCCATATCTGCTTCTTGGGGAAGAGGGAGAAGAAAAGTTAGATCATAGGTATCCCAAACAGTATCTCTGCTTCCAGTTTTCCCACAGTATGTCCCTCTTCAGCTCTGATTGGCTGCCTTGTTCTCCAGGGCTTTGATGCTGGGCTTGTTCTGAGGACTCCAAGCCCAAGCCCATTTCCTAACAGCACATCACATCCCAGTGGGTAAGAAAGTGCTTTGGTAGCCTTTCTTTTATGGGAGCCCCCTCAGCCTTGGGAGGTGTTTGGTTTAAGGCTGTTGACTGGGCTCTCAGCAAGCCTGTCCCTGGGTTCCACCATAGAATTCTCCCACTGTTCTCTCTTCAGAAGGAAATGCCTCCTGAGCTGACTTTCTGCCTTCTAGTTCCCAGTTCCATCCTAACAGGCATCCAGCTCCAGGGTGGAGGAGGCATTCTGCAGTACCAGGAATAGGCTCTCTGTGCCCCAGATACTCTGGATTGGAACTGGGTATTGAGCGCAAGATTTGGCTTGATGTGGTGCCCAGCAACCTCCTAAGGTCCAGCTTTAGCTCTGGAGTCCACTCTAGGATCTTGAGTGCTTAGAAGTAGAGGGCCCCATGATCCCAGCTCTCCCCAGGCATTTATTCATTCACTCGCAAGCTTGCATTGAGCCCCCAGCAGTATGAGGTAATGGACCAGGCTCCACCCTTTTCCCCAGTCCAATAGTTGCTGCTTTCTTTCCTTCTTAAATATGATTGGCTAAGGTCAGCATCTGCTGTCACTTGCTTGGGTGTTTTGCAGGGGTGATGTGCAACTGAAAAGAATTCTCTGTTCCTAGCAAGCCTCGGATCCCCTCAGGCAGAGTGCAGCTGAGCAGAGATCATCTGACCCATATCACAGCTGCAAATAAAACAAAAAACTTGTCTTTTCTCCCTCCACATGTACAGAAGGCCCCTCTCCTTCTCTCCTTCCATCATTCCAAGGTGAATCTTATTTTCCTGCCAGTCTACTTCTCTGCCCCACCTAAGCCACAATGCAGCATGTCTTCTAGGGGAATTGCTCCTGGCATGTCTCTTTTAGATAAATCTACTCCTAGCTTTTTTGGGCTGGCCAGTGGCCACATTTCTTACTTCACAGTTTCTGTTTCTTGACATTTACCAGTCAGATACCCTGGGTTTGGTGTCTTCCCCAGCTGACCCCAGGGGACAGTCCTCCCTGGCTCTTCACACTAGTATCTTCCCTTGTTCTGGCTCCCGTGCTGTGTCCCTCCACTTTGCCATGGTGATGAGTCAGGTGGCCAAAGCCCAGCACAGCTCAGTATTTCCCCCGCACTCTTCATATCCCACATGGGCAAACTTGTGACTGAACTTTCTCCCCAAACCAGTACTTTGTGTGCTTTTTCCTTTCTTCCCTTTGCTTTGTAAAATTTAAGTCTTCTATGCTAATCCATGCAGGGTGCCTATCCTTTCCACTTACTAAAAGAGATTTCCTTAGTGCTTTATTTCTCTCTCCAGGACAAATTGGTTTCTCTTGTTCCTTGTTCCTTACATACAGTTGTTGCATGGAGTGTGGTTCTCTTTTCTTTAAGCTTCTGAGAAGTTATAACCTGTTAAAATTCCACTCTTGGCCTATGATTCCTGAACCAGCTTTCTTTTCCTTCTGACATGAGCCAACCAGGGTTTTAATGTGTATGTTTATGTATGTGAAGTCAGTATGTTAACTCTGCTAGGCAATGGGAGCTAATGGGCAATATGGAAGAAAACCTCCATGTGTTTTTGAATAATTGCTACCTATGAAGTGTGGTAGTGATAGGAAACAGCTGAGTGTAGTGCAGTTTTCAAATTCCTGAGGCTGCGACAGGGTGAGAGACTGAGGGCTGAGGGTATGAGGCTGGGACCCACTCCCACCCTCCAGTTCAACTAGGACTATTTTGTTCTCTATGTTGGAATTTCATAGAATTTTTTTTCTTAAAAAGGAAAAAAAGTTGGGGGATTCTACTGTAAGGAAAGGAGAGAAAGAAGGAAATGCTCACACCATGGATGGTGTGTGGATGGATAGATGGACAGATGCAAAGGCAGGAGCATAACTCTCTTTTCCTTAAGCTTCTGAGAAGTTACAACCTAGAAATCTACTCTGGGTATAGGCAGGCATGCACACAGATAGACAGATAGAGAGATCTGAAAATCACAGGTAGTAGAGAGAGTATTTCCCAGGCCTTATGAAAGCTGGGAGTGGCTGATGTGAGCTAGCTGTGTTAGCCTGGGCATGTTGCTTCTTAGTGCTTCAGGAGAGAAGGATGGGGTTGAAACCATGCCTCTACAGCCATGCAGCACTGTTGTGAGGATTCAGAAATGTGCTTCTCACTTGAGAACTACTATGTGAGTGCAGGCAATTATGTTTTAATGTGCTCTCTCTTCCTTCCCCACAAAGAAGACTCATCGCCTCCTGTGGAGACATATGAAAGGTTAACCTAAGGAAACTAGAGTCTGGGCTGCCACACACGGTTGCTTAGGCTGGGCACTGCACAAGTGTGCCCAAAAAGAGGGCTGAACTCTGGTCCATGCTCTGTAACCTGCACTCCCTGATATAGGAAAGAAGTGGATCTTTAATTCTCACATCGGGACTAGCAGAAACTTGGTAGTGTCACACATTCACAAAGAGATCCAAGTGTGAGTTTCCACTTCTCTTCACCATTGCCAGACTTACAGTTGTGCTGGAATGTTTGTTTGTGTAAACAACACCATGTCAGTGTTAGCTGCTCCCTGCTTCCTTCTACCCCTCCCATGGAAATTCCTAGTGATGAGCCAGCTCAGCAGCCCCCAATTAAATTGCAAAGTGCTCCTCCCCTGAGACAGCATTGCCCCTGTCCAATGGGCAAAAATCCAGAAGATTGACACTGCCAGGAGTAGAGCTGTGGAAATCAGTTCTCAAGATGACATTGTTGCCGGGAGTGTAAAGTGGTGTGGCCCAACTGGAGAGGAATTTGGCTACAACTGGTACAACTGTACATTGCTTGTCCACTGTCCCCAGTTGCCCACTTCTGGGAACTCATCTCAGAGATGTGCCACCCCAAATCCTGAAGCATATGTGCAAGGATATTCACAGTGGCTAAGCTAATCACAGCAAAAGATTGCTGGAAAGAAATCAATGTTGATCCATAAGCAATTAGTTAAATCAATTACGATCTATCAAAAAAACAGAGCACTTGTAACCATTAAATAAAGAAGCCATCTCTATGAAATAATGTGTGTGTGTGGGGGGGCTTCCAGGATTTATTGTTAAGGAAAGAAACAAGGTTATGTAAAAGTATATTACATTTTATGTAGGAAATAAGGGGAAAGCCAAGTGGGGTGACTTGTGCCGGTAATCCTAGCTACATAGAAGGCTGAGATCCGGAGGATCGGGGTTCCAGGCCAAGGAAGGCAAAAACTTTGCAAGACTCCATCTCAAAGGACAAAGCTAAGCATGATGGTGCAACTTTTCATCTGGCTTTAACTTTTGGACTCTGTAAATGCTCTATATTTTCGAACTATAAATTTAGAAAAAGACCTATAAAAATTCAGTCCTTATCATTGGATACAAATAAAAGAAATAAGTTTACTATGTATCAGATTGATAACAACTGAGTAACTTTGAACAGGGACTTTGAAGATATATTTTAGCAGCTTTATTGAGTGATATGCAGAGGTTCTGCCACTTCTGAAGTGTATGTTTCACTGGTTTCCAGTGTATTTGCAGATTGCACAGTCAGCATTGTAATCCAGTCTTACCCACACAGGAGCCTATGCCTATGTGTCCTGTGTCCTTCTTACCCCACCTGGGCCCTAGGAACCCCTAATCTAGCTTCTGTCTTCTGACCATGGGATCATTCAGCAGATCATAAAACAAAACCAGAAACAAAAGCCCTATGCATAAACCCTAAATTTTATATAATAGGTTTATTTCAGTGGTAATATTGCTATTAAACTCTGAAACTATTCTATGCAGGTTGTGGGATGAGGCAGATAGATACATTAATTATCAATGTTATTCCGAGCCATGATTGACTATTAAAGAGATATAGAGATGCTCCTTAGTATATGATGTGGTTATGTCACACTGATATACCTATCATAGGTTGAAAATATTATAAATTGAAAATGCATTTTATATACCCAAACTACTAAACATTGTAGCTCAGCCCAGCCCACCTTAACCATGTTCACAACAGTGACATTAACCTACCATTAAGCAAAGTCACCTAACACAGAACCTCTTTTATAATAAGGTGTTAAACATTTCATGTAATTTATTGAATACTGACAATAAAAAACAATATAGTTCTCTGAGTATGCTTTATTACCATCAGAAGCTCAAAAAGTTGTTAAGTTGAGCTGTTGTAAATTGGGGACTGTCTGTATAAATACAAAATAAATGAAGGTAGAGAAAACCTTGTATCTTCGATATGAATACAAAACATCTGTATGAACTCATGAAAACACACACACACACACACACACACACACTAGTTCTGTTCAATGAAAGTGTCTGGAAAAGCTTCCTAACACTCTTGTAGCAGTGAGCACACCTACTACTAGGTCTTGCTTTTCAATATCATCCTGTGCAAAGCAAACAGAATTCCTTGGACATGTGTGGTTCCAGTTATGGGTCAAGGAAAGTAAAAAGCGATTGAGGAAAACTTTTGTTCAGAAAGTAAAGAAGTGTTGAGTGGAGGTCGTATTAAAAGGACACAAGAGCCAGGCATGGTGGTACATAGCTGTAATCCCAGCATTTGGGAGGCAGAGGCAGAAGGATCATGAAGCCATCTGGGCTGCATAACAAGTCTGATGCCAACTTGAGTTACATAGTGAGACCCTGTCTCAAGAAACCAAGAGCTGGATGTAGTTCAGTGGTAGAACTCTTGCCTAGCATGCTGGGTTCCATCCATCACCAAATTAAAAAACAAAACAAAACAAAACAAAAGCAAACACACGTTCCCTAGCCAAGTTTGGGATAATTTAAGCATCCCAAAGAGTTGTGATTTAAAAAAAAATTTGTCTGTAAAGATACTAGCAAGTAGGGGCAGAGGTAACACAAGGAAAGCTTTTCTTTACAAGATAATGTCAGCTAATAAATGTTGAAGAAATGACAGAATTTTAAAATCACCATTTTGTAACCACACAGTGTAAAAGGCAAAAGTCATCATTGGATACTAAACCATTGGGTGAAATGTGTTGATCACATTGACACATGGAACAGCTTAAAATATCAGGACACTTAGGGTTTATCACTGCACAGATCATATATTTATTACAAAGAGGGAAAATACCTTTACACTGTAGAGATCTGGAGGCCACCAGCATCCCCAGGAGTGGACAGCCTGCTACCTCCTGATGGGATGCAATCACTTGTTCCATACATCACTGGCATAGTATTGTTGCCAAAAATACTTAACCTGAATCTAGTCATGACGGAAACAATTAGACAAATCCAGCATATGAGGCAGTTCTACAAGACACCTGGCCTGAACCCCTCAGAAAGAGTCAATATTATAAAACACAAAATTAACAAACAAAAACGTCAGCGCCTATTTTGCCTACAAAGGACTGGAGAAATGTAACCATCTAATGAATTGTATGGACAGCAATTATATCTCAGGTTTTAAAAAAATTCTATAAATGACATTGAGGAACACTTGGGAACGTACGAGTGTGGGGTGTTATTTTGGAAGGATGTTATCATGATTATGAGAATATCCTGGTTCTTAGGAGAAACACGTTGAGGTATTTACTTAGGAGTGATGTATTGTGATGCCTACAAACTCTCAAATCACTGAGCCACAATGAATATAAATAGAGAAAACAAATATGACCAGACCAGTATTAGTAGAAGATGTTCAGTGTTCATTATTTTATTTTTGCAACTTTTTTGAAGATTTGAACATTTTCAAGTAGAAAGTTGCAAGGAGAACTTTAAACCTTTGGGGGCTGGGAGTCATATGTCAGGATGTCTGTCCCATCTGCCTTCCCTCCAGTGTGAGGTAGCCTGGGTTACCTCTTCTGCCATGTGCCCATTCTCTGCCTCATTACCAACTGGAAATATCATCTCCTGTTTCCACTCAGGTGAAGACCCCCTTGTGGACGATCAAAATGAGCGAGATATCAATTCAGTTGCTGGTGTTTTAAAACTGTATTTCCGAGGACTGGAAAACCCACTCTTTCCTAAGGAAAGGTTTCAAGATTTGATATCTACTATTAGTAAGTACTTCCCAGTGGGAGCCATCAATTCCTTGAGAACTCCTTATTGTCGTTGCACCATGGGCCTGGTGCCAAGGAAGGATATCATGAAAGAAGTGTGGTCCTCATCCTCATAGATCTTAGAACTGAGTTGTGGAGAAAGTGAGATTGCTAATGGTGAGAGGGCTGATGGGCACAGCATACCCCCGGTACCTAAGAGGCTCAGAAGAGAAGCAGAGGAAGCCTCAGTTTTTCAGATCAGACCTGAGAGAGTGATGGGAGCAGGTCTTCCACGAAGAGTGGATGCAGAGAATCCTGGGAAGAGTAGGGGACACAGACCATTGGGACCAGCAGGAGGTTGTCCTGGCCAGTACATGGTGCAAGAGGCCTGAAAAGTTAGATGGAGCAAGAGTGGGGGAGACTTTGAATGTCAGGCAAGGATTCCAGAACTTTTCCAGACATGTTCTGTTGGGGAATATGGAAATCGGTTATACTGTTAGCCCTAAGAGTCCTTCACTGCTGTGCACTGTGCAGAAGTCAAGAGGAGCCCAGCCTGGGGAGGCAGGGGCAGACCTTAAGTCATCTTGACTATAAGATACCAAAATCCAAGGCAACCTTTAGGAATATTTTTAAAATAAACTTTTAATTTTAGAATGTTAGAATTTTATTATTTTGAGAACAAACTTTTAAAATTTTATTGGCCTCCCCCACTTTCACTGGGGGTGCTTCTCATTCTGTGAGATATTTTCAGCTAGGAGCGTGTTCTGGGAGATGCAAGATCAGAGGGAGGAGGCCTGGCCCTCCTGTTTCCTTGTGTGAAGACCCTTCCTTTTCCTCACTGTTTCCTGCTCATCTCTCCAGATCTACTTCAGCCTTTAGCCATGACTTAGAAGTCCTGGCCTCGAAGGCCCAGGACTCTAAACCCTGGGTCTCTTGCTCAGTCCGTGTTTCAAGAACCCCCAGTTCCTTGTATTGCCATGAGTGGACAGGAAGGTCAACCTCCAGTTCAGGTCGTGATGTTGCCTGACTTGAGACAAGCTGTGAGAAAGTCTCTTGTCAGTTTTCTCCTGTACTCTTAAGGAGAAAAACCTCACATGTACACATGGACCTGCCGCCTCATCACAGAAAGCCAGGATTGGAAGATTTTTGTAGACAACAGTGACTGCCTGTAACTAGTAGCACTGTTTGGTTTCTGTTACACAATCACCCTCTTCCCCCAGCCCCCATCTGTGGCTTTGATTTCTAAAGTCCAGTTTACCTGCAGTCAACTGCTGTCTGAGGATATTAAATGGAAAATTCCAGTGATAAACATTTCATGACTTTTAAATAACTTTTATTACAGTATATTGTTGTAAATGTTCCATTATTATTAGTTATCATTAATGTCTTCCTGTGGCTAATATATGAATTAAACTTTGTCAAAGGTATGTATGTATAAGGAAAAACAGTAGATATGGGGCTTGATACTATCTGCATCTCCAGAACATCTTGGAATATATTCCCACCAGTAAAGGAGGATTACTGTATCTATTCTTATGTTACCTCCTAATCATGACAAATGATCCTCATTTCTCATTAACAGAGTGAGGTAAAGTTTTTTTAAAAATAAATTTATTTAAAAACAACATTAGTAAATAACAGGTGTGCTCTAGATGGATGAACCCGGGCACTTTGATACCAAATGTAAGTACTACCCCCCAATAACTGTGACAACCTCATAGGATGCCGGATTGATATGCAAGTGCCCCAGTTTTGCCAACAGCACCTCATTTGAGTGGCACAGCTCTAGATTGTCTCCAGATGCTTTGGGAAGGGATTGTGGCCTGGAGACAAGTCAGGCAAGGATGGCTGTAGTCCACAGTGAATGACCCTAAGGGATACAGAAAAGCAGGAAAAGGTACATTTTAGAAGAAACACTAGACAGAATGTGGGGGCTAGAGGGAGTGGCTGTGAGCAAAGCATTCCCTGAGAAAGAAACTGACATCAGTTCACCTTGCAGGTACCCTTCAGAGCTCTGGCAACTCACTCTGTAACTCCAGCTTTCCAGTTTCGCAAAGCACTGTCTCCTCTTATCAAGCCCAGTTGGCCATCCCCACCCATGGCAGAGTGGTAAAAATGCCAGTGCCTGTCTCTCGAGGGTTGACCTGAAAACAGAGTCAGAGACAAAATCCCAAGCATTTTCCAAGCTGTGTGTCCAACAGGTAGCTCTAGAGGTTCCTATGTAGTCAATTCGTTCCCTGAGCAGCTGCTGTGTTCCAGGTCTATGTTGCAGCTGGTACCTGTTAATAGTTTACCAAAACATGGTTCCTGTCTGTGTTGTCAGGACTAACAGATTTCAGGTGATAGGAACTCGAACTAGCTAGCTTCAGTCATAAAAGGGAATATAGCTGGCAAGTTTAGACCCAGCTGGACTCAGACCCTCACAGGGCATCTGCAAGAATCTGTCCCTTCTGTTTCTCTGTGCCAGCTTCGTTCTTAGGTAATGTCCTACTTCCTTGCAGCACCCAGCAATCCAGACTTCCCTCTACCCAAATTCAGGGTCACTGCCCTGTAGGTTTCTCCCATTCTGATTGGTTCTGGGTAGACTACACCCCAGCACTCCTGGTGGTGGTGGGGTGTATGTGTGCATGTGATGGGATATGATATTCTGCTTGGCTGGGCTTGAACCACTTGTTAATCCCACAACTGAGAGTAGAGTCGACTCCACTGGTCCTTGTGAGCTGACTAGGAGGTGGGACCAGCAACCAACTGTGGCTTTGCTTTCTGAGGATGACAGGCACCTTGAAACACCTTTATGTTATAGAACTGGAGAACCCAGCTGAGAGGGTGCATCAGATCCAACAAATCCTCATCACACTGCCCCGCGTGGTCATCGTGGTCATGAGATACCTCTTTGCTTTCCTCAACCAGTAAGTGCCCTTTAAGGTATCCACCTGGCTCAACCCTGACTCCATTTGGTGGTGGGGGGATGGAGAGCAAAGCTTTTGCAGGTGCTACTATTTATAAAGCAGATCATTGAAACCTCCAAAATAGGAAGCACGGAGAGGATTTGCCTCTCCTAGATGACTTGTGGGTACATGCTCTCTCCTAGCCTCTCCCAGTATAGTGACGAGAACATGATGGATCCTTACAACCTGGCCATCTGCTTCGGGCCCACCCTCATGCACATCCCTGATGGGCAGGACCCTGTGTCCTGCCAGGCACACGTCAATGAAGTCATCAAAACCATCATCATTCATCATGAAGCCATCTTCCCCAGTCCCCGGGAGCTAGAGGGACCTGTGTATGAAAAATGCATGGCTGGAGGGGAAGAATATTGGTAAGATACCATTCCTCTTGATATTATTATTATCATCGTTGTTGTTGTTGAACAAGAACAGTAAAAAGCCTCTACATTTCTTACTGCTTTAGAGTCTCTAGTTCCATATACATGTTCTCACTCAGGCTTCACAGCAGCCCTGTATGAGAGACAGGTGTATCAGTTAAGATTCTGTTGGTTACCAGGGCCAGAAATACAACTCAAACTGGCCTAAACCAAACATGAATTTATTGATTTAACTGAGACGTCTGGGGGCATGTCTTCAGGTGTGACTTGATCCAGGGTTCAACTATTATCATCAGGACTTGGTCCTTCACTCCTTGGTTTTGCTTTCTTCTGATTGGCTTCCCTCTCAGCCACTCTTCCTCATGGTGGTTGCACGAAGGCAGTCAGCAACTCCAGCTTTGTAAAAACCTGTTCTCTGAAAGCCTCAATGGAAAAATGTTCTGATCCAAGCCCACCAACTATTCGGTGCTGACATTTGGGCCTGGTGAATCACCACACTGGTGAGGAGAGGTAGTACTGCAGCTGGCCAGGTGAGTCAAGGCCCATTTCAGGAAGCAAAGAAAGAGCTCCTGAGCTGAGACTGAACCCCCAGCGCTGTCCTCACCCAACTAATGAGGTCCTACTCCAGATCAGCAGTCACTAATTGGCCACCTCTGTGCATCTGCACTATACCCGGTCTTAGGAGAAATCAGGTCTGGTTACCTTCCACAGGTTACAGCCTTAAAAAATGATAAAGGAGTTAGGGATGTACTTGGTGATAGAACATTTGCATAGCATGCCTGAGGCCCTGGGTTTAATCCCTAACATCCCCATTCCCCCAAAAAAGAAGTAAAAGAGATGAATGTTTACCATGATTTAAACATGACATAATGTATACATGTATCAAAATATCACATAGCATCCCATAATATGTACAACTTTTTGTTTTATATGTATCAACTACATTTTTAACCAAAATATAATAGTCCATAAAAATGGCAGCAAAGACAAGAAATTCACACCAAGCAAGAGAGACCAGCCAACGTGTTCCTACTGTTGCTTTATTTCCAGCCCAGGACAACATGCAGCTACATGTTTAGTCTAACTCAAACTACTTTTAGCCAGGTACCTGAAACAGAATTTTTTTTTTGTCTTGTTCATTTGTTTTGTTTTGTTTAGTTTTGTTTTTGGCAGTACTAGGTAAACTCAGGGACTCACACTTGCTAGGTAGGTGCTTTGTCACTTGAACCACATCCTCAGACCTTTTATGCTTTAGTTATTTTTTCAGATTGGTTCTTGCATTTTTGTATGGGGCCAAGCTGGACCATGATCCTGCTACCTAATGCCTCCCAGTAGCTGGGATTATAGATTTGTGGCACCACACCCGGTTGAGTCAGGGGTCCTGGGCTACCCTGGAACTGTGATCCTCTGGATCTTGGCCTGATAGTTAGAATTATAGGGATGAGCCGCCACCACACCCAGCCTTTTGATTTTGTTTTCTGTAACAGGTTCTTGCCATGTTGCCCAGGCTGGCCTCAAACTTGAGCTCCTCCTGCTTCAGCTTTCAGAGGGCTGGTATAACAGCACAATGCCCAGCAAGAGTTTGTTTTTTGATTAAAGTATTTCTGGGTGCTTGGATTGCCTTAATTCTGTGGACAGATTTGTGTAACTGCTTCAAAGAAGGGAGCTGTTCCAGCCCTTTTGACCCTGCACATACACCTTCTCACAAAGAAATACTGGCCCATGATGGTGTCTATTCTCATTTGAGACACCAAGGGGCAAGTCCACCCTGGCTCAGTCACAGAAGCATTGAACAGCTAGAAAGCATCATTTTGCATAAAGAGAGCCTTCCACACAGTTTTCACTAGCATTACCAGTTCTCTTTTCTTAGTACAGTAGCTTGATGCAATTACACACACACACACACACACACACACACACACACAGTGTTCTGAATCTTATCAGAGAACAACATTCAATAGCCATCCTATTTCTTTCCCATGAAACTAGAAAATTCTTAACCATGTGGTAATTTTGGAGGAGTTTTCAAAGCCAAAAGGGGAGATTTGGCCGAAGGTCTCGGCACAGTAGACAGCATACTCACATCTGCTGTGTCTTGGGTCCTGGGCTGGGTGGCAGGGATGGAATCTGAGCAAGATCAGTCTCTGGTGCTGGGCTCCATGGTAGCAGGCAATAGGCAGGTCTGGAAGCAGGGCCCCTGAGCCAATCCAGGGCAGGCAGAAGAGGCTTCCTGGAGGAAGCGAAGGCTGAGCCAAGGGAGCAAGGTGAACAGGCCAGTGCAGTGAGGTGGGGGAGAAGAAAGTTCTAGGCTTGGAACATTTGAAAAAATAAAAAGTGACTCTGTTTGACTGGGCTGTGGAGTGTAAAAAAAGGAAGGTGAAACACGAGGCTCCCTAGGTCAGAGACAGCCAGGATCCTACCCAGGTGGCAATGGCGAGTTCTTCAGAATGAAGCCCAGATCCTTTAAATGACCTTGTCCACAAAGTCATCCCTGACAATCATGTAGTTCGCTCTCCCCACTTCTCTCCCATGAAACACTGTTTCACCTTGCAAGTGTTTTATTTACTGGCCTGTTTCCTTGGAGTATTCATTTGTCCTTGTCCCTGAAATGTGAGCAGTGAGGCCAGGGACCTTGTCCACCTGACCTATTATTGCATCCCTCCTACCTAGCATAGTGGCATAAATTAGAACTCACTCAATAAAAAACTGACTAAATAACCATGTGAATGAACCCTGGCCTCAGTCTAACAAAGGGGTAGCAGCTGGTGAGATCGACCAGCACACGAATGAATAAATTTGACCAACCTGGATCACTTAGCTACCATGCTCATCATGACTGCCAGCCTGCTCTCACAACCCAGATTGATCTGGGTGCTTGTACACAGGATGATGTGACAGCCCTTGTTAGTGTCTCACGGGATGTGTCACCTCAGCTATGAAATGACTCATAGTACTTCAAAGGTCCTTTCTGTTGTGGCTTATAGTCCTTCTGATGATAAACGCTGGGGTTTTATAAACATGGACATCTGGATCCTACAGAAGACAGCATAGTCTTCGTCCACTTTCTGCTGCTGTCACGGTGCTAGACATGAGGCGATTTACAGTGAACAGGAACTTACATAGCTCATGGTCTTGGAGACTGTGAGGTCCAAGAGCATGGCACCATCATTGGGCAAAGGCCTTCATGCTGTATCACCCCGTAGCAGAAGGCAAAAGGGCAAGAAAGCCCAAGAGTGAGCAAGACAATGAGAGGGTGTCTAGCCAAACTCACTTTTAATACAGTCCTCTTTTGTGACAGTTAATTCACTCCTGTGATAATCACAGTCCATTCATGAAGGCAGAGCCCTTGTAACATCACCTCTGATGAGGCCCCACCTCCTAACACTGGCCTTGGAGATGACATTTCCAGCATATGAACTTTGGGGGGCACATTCAAACCATTGACAGCCTTCACCAAGAAGATGGTCTAGCAAATTCCAGGGCTAAGAAGGGCCGAGGTAGGGTGAGAGGGGATAAAGGAAAATAATGGAGGGTATGATTTCAACTATGCTATATTGAAAGATCTTTTATAAATGTCACAGTGTACCCAATAATAAAAAAATAAATAATACAACAACAATGAAAAAATAAATTAAAAAAGAAGGGTCTGAGGGGAGTATTCAGGGAAGCTTTCCAGCAAGGGTTGTAAGAGTAGTTTTGTGGTGAGGAAGATTCACAAGTGGTCACATGGAAAACACAAGATGATGTAGGGCTGGGCCTTCTCTGGGTAGGTTGGGCTAGTGCCCAGTGGAAGTCAAGGGTAGTATAGGGGTGTACATGCCCCCCAACAAACCCCTTTCCTATGTTTGCAGTGACAGCCCACACAGTGAGCCAGGCACCATCGATGAAGTTGACCATGATAATGGCACAGAGCCTCACACTAGTGATGAAGGTGAGTGAGGGAGGGCCGGGGTAAAAACCTAACCTGCGGTCTCATACCACTCCCAGGGATGATCTTCATGGCTCCTCCAGTCTCTGAGGCAGCACAGCCATCCTTTAGAATGGGGTGGAGGAGTCCTAAGTAGGAAGAAACCTGTGTTCCTTTCCCCTGTGCATCTACTCTGTGCCAGGCCCATGCTGGGACATGGGACCTGGTGTTGACTGAGACAGGTTGTCAGTAGACCTTGACAGATAAAAGCAGCTCCTCATGGGGCAAAGTGGCAATGCCATACTACGGGTGTGTCCCCAGTACATGAGCACCCCAGGAATAAAGCCAAAGAGCAAGAAATACGGAGAGAGAGAAAGGGAAGTATGTGGAGAGAAAGGCCAGTGATTCTGAGTGACCCCCTCGTTCCTCTGCCCTGTTGGACAGGGAGAAGAGTGGTCAGTCTCCAGGGAGACGGAACTGTGCGGTTGAGCAATCGGGTGATGTGGTTCCAGGGCCAAAACACCCACAGGCAGAGTGGGCCCAGTGCTGAAGGCCCGCGATATTTAAGGGGCTCATTCTTTTAAACCAGAAGGAAAAAGGAAAATGATATCCAATCTGGATTGTGTTCGCCTTTATACTAGTACAGTGGTAAAATACTATTTTTAACTTTTTTTTTAACAGATGAAGGGTTTCACGCAGGTGTATGTGCTGAGGGCTGTGGGAGTCATGATATGGTCCTATATGGACCAAGCACATCCTTCCTTTCTTCCTGTCACAGTTGTACTTTTTTTAAAAAAACCTCTTTATTTAGCAGTTCTCTTACTTGGCCTTTATGTTGCCCCTATGAGACAATCCCAGGCACCGTTGGCCAGCACATTTGTCTAGCGAGCTGGGCATATCCACAGGTGGTTTGTGGGAGCCAGTGAAAAGGTAAGATGACTGATAGATACGTTTTCATATTCTAGTAGAACTATTTCAGTTCCTAACGACAGAACCCCTAACTCAAATAGACTTAGACATACCTGAACATTAGACATACCTGACTTAGACATACTTAGACATTTTTATATGCCTGAAAAGTCCCAGGGTAGCATCACTTCAGGCATAGCTGGATCCAGGAGCAGATGATCTTTTGGGACCTTGTGATCTTCCTGTTCTTCGTCCCTTTGTGCTGGCCTCAATCTCACAAAGAATCCCCCTGTGTGGTAGTCTCTGGGTCTCTAGGCTTTCACTATTCTCTTATTCAAAGTCCCAGTGGAAAAAAGATTCCTTCTCCTAATGGTTCCAAGAAAGTTCCTGGGGTAGAGTCTCTTTGGATAGCCTTTGGTTACACACCCAGGCATGATCCAACCACTGTGCACAGAGGGAGAGCCAATGAATCAGGCCTGAATCACTGAAAAATAAATCCAGGTGCAACCTTCAGCTTTGTCAGACTCCTGAAAGGCTGAAGTCATCTGGTACTGAGGACAATGTTCTGCAAAGGTCTCCTTGGAGATGTGAAAAACCAAAGCAGTTGCTTGTCTCGTTCTTTCTCTCTCTCCCAGCCACCTCTCGTTCTCCCCTACCACTGTCCCTTCTAACAGCCTTCCCTTGTTCTTTCCATCTGTTGCTCCTTTTTTATTTCTCTCTCTTTCCCCCCTTCTCTCTTTCCCTTCCTTCCTCTCTTACTTTTTTCTTTCTCCCTTTCCCTCTCCTTTTCTCTCTTCATCTTCTCCTTCTCCCTCTTCCACATCTGCTTCTCCCCCTCTCTTCCCTCCATATGCCAGTGTGTAGCTCCCTCTTGCTTTAGAGCTTTCTGTCCATCTCTCTTTCTTCTACTGAGGAAAAACCCCTCTTGTGTTAAAAGAGATTAACTGATTTTCCAGACCTGAGACCTGTTGGAGGAAACAAACTCACTGATGGGTGGGTCAAGTGTCCTTCACACTTGACCTGTGTGTCCACCTTCTTGGGAGCTGATGTCTCTGTTTTTCCCACAGCTCCACAGCATGCTGGACAGAAGGTTGCTCTGGGCACCTTCTGCGGGTGAGGAGGGACAGAGAGAAGGGAGCTTGCTGGGCCAGCCAAGAATGGCCCAGCCCAATGGCTATTGGGCACCCTGAGGAGGCTTTATCCCTTTCATCAATTCACACTTAGAAGCTGCAAAAGTAGAAGGAGTTTATTTGAGGTTTAAAAAATGGCAAATTAGGAGATCCAGGTTCAGATAGCTTTGCACACATGTTCAGAGGAAGTCAGGGAAAGTGGGAGCTTATACACTGAGAGGGCACGGCACAAATGACCTGTAGATGATAAAGGAAAGGAAGTACAACAGAATGGAAATGCCCATGAAGCAAGAGTCCCATGACCCCTTCACATGCACTTTGATCTCTGCATGCTGTCATTGTCTGGTTGTTGAGGTCATTCCAGATGCCTGCAGTCAGAGGGTAGAGGTGACCAGAGCTCACATCCCCAGACCTAAACCCTGCTTCCATAGTGGCCTCCAAACTCCACTTTTGAAAAGCTCTTTCAATGTTGCTTTCATTATGATTTTCCTTTTATTTTCATATTTCACACCAAGAACCACCCCAAGAAAATGCTGCCTCCCCTTTCTCAGGGCAAAGCTCACAGCTTGGGTAAGTTCAGCTGTATCCACTTCCCCAGAAGATTCTTGTCTGTGGTGTTCTTTGCAGGGCTTCTGATTTCTAAGAATAACAAAGGTAGGGGAGACCCAGGCTGGAGGGAGAACAGCCAGCTTCACGCTCCCTGAGGCTCTTCAAGTAGCCTGTGTGCATGCATGCATGCATGTGTAAGTGTAGGGGGTGCTAAACCAGAGGCCTACTTTGAAGGGAGATGACTTGCATTTTCTAAATGTTCCATTCATGCCGACGATGGCATTGGCAGAAATAGTGAGCTGCAGGGCCAAAGGGGCATTGGGCTCAGGGAAAAGAGGCCTGGAATTGAAATACAGAGGGAGTCCTTTGTGGTCATGTGATCTGAGGCAAGCCATAAAACCTCTGGCCTGCTTCCATAGCTGTAAAATGGGAATAACAGCAGAAGAGGATCCTGGTATGAATTAAAATAGGCGACACATATGAAGTTGCCGAGCATAGTGCGCGGGACAAGGTGGGTAAGAAATTGACTCTGTGTTAACTAAAAAGCCTCCCTTATCCTGATAGGGAAACTGAGTCTCAGAAAAATTTTTGCCTTAACTTGCCATTGGCAACCTAAAACTCCTGATCTATTTACCTATTTCCTTAATATATTCCATGTGGGGGATCATCAATATCTTCTTTTCTCTTGAAAATGCCCAATGTGAATGGACCCCAACAGGCTTCAAAGGTCAGATCAGGCACAGAATGATGGCCCCAGGTCCTTGTAATAGTTGCCATCACCCACGAGTGCCAAGTTGGAAGAACAATCTAGTTGTCTTGGAAAATGCTACCTTTCTTATCTCAACAGATTCTGTACCTAACTGCTGTCTGCTGCCTGTCTTGACTCTATTCACACTTCAGGAGATTAAGCAGGAAAATCCATTACGGCTGCTCTGTGGTCTCCAAGCCTATGTAGACACTATGGTTAGGCTAAGAACCTTTAATGTCATAACTAAATAAACCCAACGAAAATATGAAGGCAGCCTGTCACTTGTAACTTTGTTAATTGAAGCTAAATGAGGAATGAGATTGCCAATGATGAAACCACTGCAATCCATAATGGAGGGAAGGTGTTCATGTGGGTTTGTGGCACTGCCATTCTCTCACTGATATTTCCCCCAAATTCCTAGGGCCACCTTTGACTTCCCCCCTTGTTTGTTTATTCTAGAGTTTTAATAAATGGATAATATGGAGTAGATTTTTGTCTTTTTTTTTTTTTTGGCAATACTAGGGATTGAACGCAGGGCCTCATACTGCTAGGCAGGTACTCCACCATTTATCCACTCCGCCAGCCCTGCAGCTGTCTTCTTTGAGATGAATCTTTGAGAGTCATCTGTGTATATGTACTAAAGTGAGGTTTTGATGGTATTAAAATGGTATTTAGTCAATTTATGCATGAACACTTCAGTTCTGCTTGAATCATGGCCACCCCCTGCATAAGAAATTAAAATAATTGAAAATAAAATGAGAACAGAGGCCAGTTTATTATCCTGACTTATGTTCCTTACCTCCAGTAGCCGAGGGTGTAAACTAGCTGCACAAGGTGGCTTAATACTGAGGACGGAGGATTCTGTCTGCCTCTCTTTTTAAAACTACTTTATTGAGTAAATTAACACCATATAATTTATCGAGTCAAAGTGTTCAACTCATGGTTTTTAGTATAGCCACAGATAATGTGCAGCCAAGTTTAGAACATTTTCATCATCCCCCAAAGAAATCCTGTATCCTTTAGCTATCACCCCTTATACACACCATCCCATCCTCTGCCCCCTACAGTTCTCCCCTTCCTTAAGCTACCACTAATCTACTCTCTCTGTGCATTTGCCTGTTGTGGACATTTCATATAAATGGACTCATGCAATATATGGCCTTTGTGCCTGGTTTCTTTCACTTAACATGTCTTTAAAGTTTATGTATGTTATAGCATATATTTGGAACTCATTCCTTTTCACAAATCGGTAATGCTCCATTGTGTGGATATAACATATTTGTTTATCTATTTGTCAGCTGCTGGGCATTCAGGTTGTGTCTACTTTTTAAGCTAGCATGAATAGTGCTGTCATAAACATTTGTACACAAGTTTTTGTAAACATATCTCTTTACATCTTTTCCCTATCTTAAGTTTGTCTTGCTGCAATTGATTTGTAATAGCTCTTTATATATGAGATGTTCCTTATCACATATATGATATGTTTTCTTCTATTATGTGGCTTGCCTTTTGTTTTTTTTTTTTGATGGTGTCCTTTGAAGCACAAAAGGTTTTAATTTTAATGAAGTCCAATTCATCTATTTTTTTCTTTTGTGGTTTTGATGTTATATATCTAGGAGGCCTTTGTCAAATCCAAGTTGTGAAGGTTTCCCTGTTTTCTTCTAAGAGTTTTACAGCATTAGGTCTTA